CTACTACAACAATAATGGCATTCAGGACGTTTAACTGACTATTGGTGTCTCCACAGTTTGATTGCTGTGGGGTGAACAGTGCTGAAGACTTTGAGGATCAGAGTCTCTTCAGGAGGCTGAACCCCAGCAGAATAGTGCCAGAGGTCTGTTGTCAGAGGAACGATCTGATGATGAGCAAAGAGGACTGTCTCAAGGGAATTATGCCAATCCGGAATAAGGTCAGCAATGAGTTTACAAATTAGTAAATACATGCATCAAGTAGTTTACAGTTGATTAGAAGGAAGAAAACCAAACATGTTTTTATCGGAGGAAAAAGGGACGTGGTATCCATCTTATTTTTCAGGTGAGAGCTGGCACTGCCATTTAATTTGATAACACTTCAGAATACTGTTCCTTCATTACTGAATAACTACATGGAAACAAATGAGTAATGCATTATTAACATTCTAGTAACTGCTATTAACTAACAAGAAACAAGTTATAGTGCTCAGTTGAATAGCTATCAGTAACTAATTGTTTCATACATACATGCAGGTTCATAATTAACATGACTAATGCATAATTTAATGTATAATAAAAGGTAACGGTGAACCACTAAGGAATCAAGTGTTACTACAGTACATCTTTCTAAAGGAACTACTAATTATTTGGATCAGTATTCTAAAGTGAAAAACATGATAACTATCTAATATTGACTGAAGTCATTGTAAGATTTTGAATAATAATTCCTTCCGATGGATTTGGCAACACTTTAGTCTTTAGAATAATGATCCAAATGCTTAGAAGTTCCTTTAGAAAGATGTTTAACACTCGAGTCATTATATCCAAAACCTTACAAAAAGCTTATGACTTCAGTCAATGTTAGGTAGTTATCAGCTTTTCACTTTAGAATACTGATCCAAATTATTAATTGTTCCTTTAGGATTAAGGATTTAAGGATGTAGTAACACTTGATTCATTACTAATGGGTTACCATTACCTCATATTATACTGTACATTGCATATTGTAAGCCTGAATATAGTATTTCTTATAGTAGTCTTCAGTGATATTAATTAATGAAGGAACAGTATTCTAAAGTGTTACCTGTAATTTTAATATGTCTAGCTGAAAACTGTTATTTCTTACCGTATTATTTTAATGTGTTGTCATTATTTAAACATTAAATAATGACAACACTGTCATTATTTAAACATAAACATTATTTTAATGTGTTATTTTAATGTGTTGTCTTAATTGTAAACACACTGGTTTAAAGAGCAAACCATTTTACGGTTTTCTGCTCTTTGATATTCTTCTTATTATTTCAGTATAGTGGCTAATAAATTGGAAGACTTACACATTCACAGAAAACACCTTACTTCATGTTGAAAAATTAGGTGGATATATAATCGATATAATAAATCTCAACATTAATGTGAATTTCAGTCATATATGACACACAGTATAAGTCATGTGTACTCTTCTATAGATATATTGATTCTAACCTTTTAGAATGACAACACTATGAGCGATGAATAAATGAGAAATTCAATATCCATTGAAGCAGCAACGTTTTGTTCTCTCATATTGAAATTCACACTTCTTTCAAACAGGGCTGTTATTCAGCAGTGGTGGACTATTTTGAGACGTACATCTATATGGCTGGAGCCCTTGCTATTGTGGTGCTGACTATTGAAGTAAGGTTATGATTTGTATTTTTATAATGAAAGTTAAAAGTATGATGTGATCCAAAAAAAGAACTGTGAGTTGTGATCGCCATCTAGTGGAGGGAGTTTTAGTAGCTTTGCCATGAAATGTTGTTCAATGTAGAATATTTTTAAAACCTTATTTTTTGACTGATTGTATTTGTATTTTTTTTTCTCTTTCATCAGCTCTTTGCCATGGTGTTTGCTATGTGTTTGTTTAGAGGAATCCAGTGATTTTAACGCTCAGTAAGGACATTTTGAAGAGGAAGAACGTGGCATGACATGGACAACGATTTTTAAATAAGAAAAAGAAGAAAACACGTATATATTTGCCATCTCTGTGTTGTTATGTAACAAATTACGTTGGAATATTTGAGGATTGCCAAAAATGTATCGTACTTCACAGCTGGGACTTGTGAGGTACTTGTTTGTGAAAACGTAAAAAAGTAAAAGTAATTCGTACATTAAAGGTGGTATGGAGGGATGCACTGATATTTGGTGGAATATTTATAGATGACAAAATACTGATTCCTACTAAGATGTTTTACCTCTTATCTACAGTAGATTGTTCATCACTGAACCAGAGCCATGCTTAAAAAAAACTACACCGTGTGAATGAAAGGGTGTCTGTGAAACAGAAAAGTTCGGTTTGTGTGTGTGCTTGCTTGTGTTTCTGTAAAACAATCTGAGAGGCCAGCAGCTTCTATAAAATAATGTTTTGTTCAGAGTTACAGTCATTATGTAATTTTAGTAAAACTGTGGTGTATTTGTGTTGTATCTTATGTAGACAACGACATTGAATAATATTAAAAAGAAAAAAAGAACATCTGGAGAGTATGTTTTCATGTTTCCCATCATGGGTGGAATCTGACTTTTCCAATAACTAATAACCATGAAAGCTTTCAGTACATTCATTTTGAAGCACATACTTGATGAGCACACAATGCTCTACATGAGCACTACATGAGGAAGCATGTCTAGACAGGGAATGGAAATGTACAATTTTAGTGTAACTCATATCTCCAGAGTATAAATATTAATATAAAGAAAATGAAAATATTATCAAGGAAGCTGGAATTCAAAACCAACTGGTTGACAGTTCAAAGAAGAAAAAAGGGCATAAAAGCATTACAATCTGCTTTCCCTGCCTCCTGCTATACAAGATAAATAGCCTGGGCAGTGCATGTGACGGCAAGAGACACACACACACAAGCAGGTGAAGAAGACTAAAGTGCACATTCTCTGAAATAACACTGCAAATGTTGGACAAATCACTGCTGAAATTAATGAGAAGTATGGAAGGATAAACAGGTCTGGTTCCTTGAGACTTTCTGCAAACTGCCTGTGTTTAATTTTGTTTGTTTGATTACTTAAAGGAACAGTTCACTTAAAAAAAAAATGTTTGCTGATAATTTACCCCAATGTCATCCAAGATATCCATGTCATTCTTTCTTCAGTCGAAAAGAAATGAATGTTTTTGATGAAAACATTCCAGGATTTTTCTACATAATATGTACTAACTGGTAACCAAACGGTTCAAGGTCCAAAAGACAGTTTCAGTGCAAATTATAAACTGTTCAAAGGTCTTTAAACGATTTCAGATAATAAGGGTCTTATCAAGTGAAACGATCGCTCAATTTTTATATAAGTTTATAAGCTCAAATAGTCGCCTTGCTCTGTTCTGTGATGCGCGTTCGTGATTCTCCTGTTCGAACTCATTTATCAAAATGAACAAATCTTTTTTGATGTCATTTAGTTCATTCAACCATAGCAACGAACGAAATGAACGAGTTGACTCGGAAAAAGATTCGTTCATTTTGATGAACGAGTCCTTACAGGAGAGTCACGAACGCTCATCACGCTCATCACTTGATAAGACCCTTTTTCGTCGTCTGGAATTGTTCAAAAACCATTGAAAAAAGTTCCCATTGAAGTCCATATGGAGAAAAACCCTGCAATGTTTTCATCAAAAACCTTAATTTCTTTTCGACTGAGGAAAGAATGACATGGATATCTTGGATGAAACGGGGGTGAGTAAATTATCTGTAAAAGTTGTTTTTAAAAGTGAACTACTCCTTTAATGCCATAGCAAACATTGTTACATATGACGTGATAAATAAGATCACTATTAAAAAGGGATAGTTCTCCCAAAAATAAAAATTCTTGTCATAATTTATTCACCTTTATGTTGTTCCAAACCTGTATGAGTTCCTTTGTTCTGAACAAGAACATTTTTTGAAGAATGTTGGTAGTTGACGGCAGCCATTGACTTCCATTTGTTTCTCAATGGAAAGCAATGTCTACGGTCAACTGTCTGGTTACCAACATTCTTAAAAATATCTCTCTTTTGTGTTCAACAGAAGAAACTCACACAGGTTTAAAACAACTTAAGGGAAAGTAAATTGTTATATTTCATTCTTGAGAGAACTATTAGCATTTAAAATGTACTTTTAAATGTGTAACCCTAACTGTCACCGTCCTGCTCGTGGGATGCGTGGCATTTTTTAACGGCCTTTTTTCGTATCATATATTTTAGTAATCAACATAAATTATGTATCAAAATCTTACGAACTTAAAATTCTGTGAAAACTAGGACCCATGGAACTCGTGGAAATGGTACTTTAAACATCAAGGAACTTCAATTTTTGTGATATCAACTTCAAATTTGGAACACAACTTGGTTAGACATACTGGCTTTGCTGCTGGGTGTCTTTAAAACAAGATCAAATATTCCACAGCATTCTTGAAACACAACCATTTAAGTTTGGATAATACATGTCTTTATTGTTGAGTTCAAATGTGCGAGGGTCAACTCAACTTCATTATATCCATCATGGAGTCAGCTTTATGTCAGAGATTTCAGAAGGGGTGAAAATGTCAATCCATTATCATTCAGACTGATGACAGATATGAATGTCAGCCTTTTCTCATGTCACTATACCTTGCACCTTGACAAGAACCTCAGTTTAATAGAGTTCTTGCTACACATAAATGCTGTGTCTTGTGAATTTTTAAATGTAGTACAGTAAGAAAAACAGTAGGTTTATATAAAAATGCTTTATTGATGCATATCAAAGATCATCCTGTAATGAGAAAAAGGCAGATTTACACTGTAGTTTCAGACACAAACAAATAAATATTCAGGTAAGTACACCTATTCAGCCCACTATCAACTTTGAAGTAAAAACATACACACATAATATATATAAAATTGCAATTACATTTTTAGTTTACACTTTCAAATTGTGCAGAAAACAAATATACATTTCATTTTGTTCATTATTTATTGACTAATAAAAATATCTGAACACAGATTGCATTTAAGGTACACTTTTCCTTTTATTTTAACAATCACTTACATCCAACTTTCTGTCCAACAACTGTATTTCCTTCTCCACTTTGCGCATTTTTAAAGCTCTGTATGCCATTTCTTGCTTTCTGTTGTAGATCTCGATTTGAAGATACTTTTTATACAGGGTCTTAACATCCTCCAAAGGTTCCTTAAAAAAGAAAAAAGAATAAGAGCATTTTATATCACCAAATAGTTGATATAAAATGTAATGCCCTGCAACATACTCTGTTAAATATTATATTAATCACAATTAGTAAAAGTTTAAGCATTTAATATTACATATGTTATTTATGTAATACTATGATAATTGACATCCCATTCATTTTTTTTAAAATCAGAGCTGCAAACTTACAGAGTCTAGTTCATCATCTGATAATATAGGTGGGGGAAGGAGGTTCAATCCATGTTCAGTCACTGAAATGATGTGATATGAATGATGTATATTTATTGCAGTATTGATTTAAAGAGACAAAGAAAGACAGAGGTGCGGATACCTTTGACATAACTGCTGCAGCCAGCTACATCTCCTGGTTCAGAGCAGCATCCGCCAACTATGTGCTCTATGATAGGACCCTCCCCCACATCGTTCTCAGGGGCCACCTCCTCCTGATCTATGTACTCCTCTTTTGGTGGGACTGGAAGTAGTCCCATCGTCTTCAGGGCAGCCCTTCTCTTGTTAGCTAAATTATGTGCATCCTTGAAGTTATTCATTTCAAAAACACTTCAAAACACATTGAGTATTTTATATAGACCAGGGGTTTTCAAACTGGGCCCGGGCCACAAGGGGGTGCTAGGGGTCTGCAGAAAATATCACAGGGGAAAAGGTGCAAAACATGTACAAGATAAAGGGTTGGTTACAATTTCAATCTGCTTTCAAAAGACCGAGTAAAGATAAGATTTTGTGAGAGTTTCTCTTTACCTCTTTCATTTAGGGTTTTAAGAACTTATTACCTTAAAGGAGTAGTTCACTTTAAAAAAAAACTTTTGCTGATAATTTACTCACCCTCATGTCATCCAAGATATCCATGTCATTCTTTCTTCAGTCGAAAAGAAATTAAGGTTTTTTATCAAAACATTGCAGGATTTTTTTTTTTTCCATATAATGGACTTCAATGGGAACCAAACCGTTCAAGGTCAAAAAGACAATTTCAGTGCAAACTGCAAACTGTTCAAAAGGGCTTTAAACAATTCCAGACGATGAATAAGGGTCTTATGAAGCAAAAAGATTGGCCATTTAAAAAAAAAACAAAAAAAAAAAACAAAGTTTAAGTTTTATAGGCTCAAATGCTCGCCTTTCTCTGTTCTGAGATGCGCGTTCGTGACTCTCCTGTTCGAACTCGATTATCAAGCAAGGCGACCATTTGAGCTAATAAAACTTAAACTTTTTTTTTTTTTTTTTAAATGAGCGATCGTTTTGTTTGATAAGACCCTTATTCATCGTCTGAAATCGTTTAAAGCCCTTTGAACAGTTTCCACTGAAACTGTCTTTTGGACCTTGAACCGTTTGGTTCCCAATGAAGGAGAAAAATCCTGGAATGTGTACATCAAAAACCTTAATTTCTTTTTGACTGAGTAAATTATCAGCAAAAGTTTTTTTTTTTTTTAAAGTGAACCACTCCTTTTAGTTATGTGCTATGTATTAAGCTAAGCTAATATAGCCTACATACACACACACACAAATACTTATTATATTATAATTATATTATAGTGCAATATATGTTTCTCTTCATATTTATACATTTATAATTCAGGTTTATACACCTAACATTACTCAAACAGTGACTAAAAGAAGAGACAGGCCTATGCTGACTTAATAGAACTTAGCTACGTATCCAGATACTATTTGAGAAGCCTACATTGTAAAAGCAAGTTATTTAATTTGGCAAATAACATGTTGTATTTATAATATTATTCCTATTTTTTACACGCATAGACGGGCCTTTATGTATAGGAAGGGAGACCCTAACAATGGGGATTATCATATTAATATGACCCGTGGGCTGGCATCACCAAAATCGAAAAACCTTACGACCTACCACTTTGAACGATGTTCTTGTATTTCGTCTTCACTTGCTGCCACGTTCGTCTAGGTCCCATAGGGTTGGATCTGTAATTGAAATGTGGGCGTGACAAAGAGCAGAATGAGAGAGAAAGCAGCTGAGCTTGGACATTTGATTCATACACTAGCTGTAGTCATGTTTACTACACAATAAACTATCCCAGAGTAATTACATGTAGAAAATAGTCTACTTACGCATTTAATTTGACAGATATTTTTCGCCACGCATCCTGACGGACTTTTGCAGCCGCTATTGTATTCCCTTTGGTTTTTATTAAATGTTTAACTTCGTTATATCCTTCAATTAGAAGTTGCAATTCATTGGGGCTGAAATATGCAGCACGCTGTTGTTTAGCCATGATGTTAGTTAGGGAACTGTTCAATCTCCACACGAACCTTAATAAACAGTCTTCTTGAAATTAGCGATACTTATATCCGAGATAGCGGTGTGTAGTGTGTAGGAAGAATCGGGGAAAAAAAAATCAATTTCAGATAGCCTATGGAGCCAGCTCAATCCGGGATATGTAAACTAATCCGGGCTTTGTTAAACCACAGTCGAAGAACAGGAGCCAGAGGATTGTTTCTTGTCTAAAAACATCAGACATATATAAATGTTTGGCTTAATGTTCAAATCAAAGCACAACAATAACGTTTAAAGTTATTTACGCCGTAAAAAATGGTGGCTGCCTGAAACCATAAGCTGATTAGCTCTTGTGTATGGTTGTGTTTAAAAACGCGCGAGCTGACTATTTATACACATAGGGAAAGAGGCATTAATCACTCCAAAATGCTGTCTAGTTAGGCGGCTCACTAGGTTTTGAGACGCAGCCTATGGCGCACAGTCGTTCTCCCTCTACAGCAGATGGCGCTAAGCGGGCGGAATTAAAACAAGACTGTATGGCACTTACACGTGAAGGAGAGACGAATTTCTTTTTTTTCCCTGTCAGCTGTCCATTTAGTGTAAGGAATGTGTTGTGGGATAATAAACAAAATTTAGTTTAGTTCAATTTCAGTCTTTACACCATACCGGACTAACAATTGAGATTATGGTTGAGGCGTGCTGAGATTTGAGGCCATAAACTGGACACCGTGAAGGTTAGTTCATAAATTTGAGTGGCTAGCTTAACCGCTATCGTTAGCGAGTGTGTTTTGGATTTACAACTCGAGAATGGGCATATTTATAGTAAGACTATGACATATGGTCGACTTTTACTAATAAATATAAATAATATAAGAAAACAGAGGGACTGGTCATACGAAATTAAGTGAAATTTGAGTGATTGATCATTAATAATGATTTAAGTAAATTCATCAATTATATGATAAAAGTCAAACGAACATGCATCAGGCATATAATACATTAGAATGGGAACGATCCATCACATAATAAATGATTTGGAGTTTGATGAATAAGTCATATAACAGATCATTTGGAGTTTAGTGGAGTAATTATATGTAATACCAATTAATCCATTCAATTCTAAATAATTTATTTTCATGTCCAATAAATTAATTGGAATTTGGATTAATCATAAATTGATTGCATTAGATGGATCAATCATTTACGAAATATCAATTAGAATGAACAATCTTATATGTAATATAATTAGATGGATCAATCATATAATAAATGAAAATAATCTAATCTAAGTTTATTTGTAATTAGATGCATCAGTCATATAGTAAATGAATTGGTAAAGATCGTGTGTTGTTGTATGTCCTTGATGTTCTCTGACATGTGTAGATGTTCACCATTGGCGTTTGTGTGTTCTGCAGTGGTTTTGGCTCTGGTCGGGCTTCATCATGTGTGCAGCAGTGAAGTATGGTTCCCGGGGCCCTGCTCTCATTCCCCGCATGAAGACTAAACACCGTATCTACTACATCACCCTATTCTCTGTGGTCCTGCTGGGGTTGATCGCAACAGGGATGTTCCAGTTCTGGCCTCACTCCATTGAGTCCTCCGCTGAATGGAGTCTGGACCGCCGTAGTGTGCACGACGCTCCTTTGATCAGGATACCTGTGAGCAGTCCTATTCCTGAGAGGGGTGATCTGAGCTGTCGGATGCACACTTGCTTTGACGTGTATCGCTGTGGATATAATCCCAAAAATAAAATCAAGGTGATGCGATTGAAGAATAAACTGTGATGTTTATTAGGTTGGATGTCATTCCTTGATCTATTAATCGTATTTGTCTACAGGTGTACATCTATCCTCTTCAGAGATTTGTGGATGAGGTAGGAGTGCCCATCAGTAGCACTGGCCTGTCTCGAGAATACAATGACCTGCTGAGCGCCATCTCAGACAGTGACTTTTACACTGATGATGTGACTAGAGCGTGCCTGTTCATACCCTCCATTGATGTGTTGAATCAGAACTCTCTGCGGATTCGTGAAACTGCTCAGGCACTGGCCATGCTGCCCAGGTACATATATTTATCCTTCAATATCTTCAAATAAAACCACTTCTGCTGTACAAGGACCTCAGTTGTATTTGAATTACAGTTGCACCTCTCTGTTGTTCTCTATTATGGTGTCACTTCTAGATTTATACAACTCTTATATTTGAGATTTTAGGAACTGTATTTTGATCTTGAAGTCACAACTGACCATTTCAAGCTATATATTCAACATGTTTATGATACTTTTTTTCAGGTGGGACAAAGGCATGAACCACCTGCTGTTTAACATGCTTCCTGGAGGACCCCCTGACTACAATACAGCTCTGGATGTGCCCAGAGACAGGTGAGATTTAGGAATAATTAACAGACACACATAATTGTTAAACTTGACAGGAAGTCTAAATGTTCTCAAATCATTGATGTTATGTATTATGTAATTCAGAAGTTTGGGGTCAGTGAGAGTTTTAATTCAATATTTTAATTAGATATTAAAGTAATCAAAAGACAGTAAAGACTTTCACATTGTTATAAACTTTTAAGCTTTCTGTTCATCATAGGATCATGACTTTTTTTTATCACGGTTTCTGCAAAAATAACTAAGTGATAACTAAGTGATAATAATAACTGTTTCTTGAGCACCAAATCTGCATATGAATGATTATGAATAAGAATGGCTACTGAAAATTCAGCTTTGCCATCACAGGAATAAACCATATTTTAAAATAAGTGAAAACAGCTCTTTAAAATTGTTTTGGTTTTGTTTTGTTTTTTTTACTGTATTTTTGGTCAATTAAATGCTGCCTTGCTGAAGACTTCATCATATATTATGACCCACTGTAAAAAATTAACAACATAGTAATTATAAACTTCAGTGTTTATTTTTCTGTGACTTTACCAAAGCATTTGATTTGTATGCATGTGTATTCCTTCAGTTTTGAGACTAGGTTCAGTAATGAAAGGCTTTCAATGACCAAAAAATAATTCAGACTGACAAAATAATAAAAATTAAATTCTTCTTCATTTAAATATTAATAATAATATTAATACAAATAATAATGATACAGACATTCTTCTTCTAAATAACAATAAGCGTCATTTATAATAAAAATCATAATAAGAAGTATATTATTACAAATTGTCATGCAATTATTAATGTGAATGAATGGTCCTCCACATCACATCATCATCAACATCACTATTGTACACCTCAATACATTTGACGCGATACGAAATTAAATGCTAATTGTCAAAACACGTGCTGTAAAAAATGCATTGTGATAGGTCATTTTGGCTCCACATCGGAGAAGTTTCTCTTCTTTGCCATCTTCAGTGTGTCCATGCCTTAAATTGTGGATGTGGGTGAACCGGAGAGTTGAATATATAGGGGTGTGTTATTCTAATGACGATCGTTTTCAGCCGTGGCATTTATCATTGCGGACACCTGGATTTCAAAGGTACGCACAGGGTCATAAATCAGGCGGTGAGAGGAGTGTAAGCATAATCTTATGCCAACATATACGCCCGTTTCTACGCAAGAATGATAAATGAGGGCCATTGTAAGGACAGTGTTCAAATCCTCATGAATTTATTTGTAACTTTTCAATTCAAATCACAAACACAGAACTATTTTGTATAACTGTTTCTCGTTCTGATATTTTGGTCTCGTTCTGGTATGGTGCAATCTAGGAAAGATTTGTTCTCTCACATTTCATTATTCACATTATTGCCATTTTAATTATGTTTCAGAAGCAAGTGGTGTTGAATGTGTAGCTAATATGAAATTATTTCTTCATTAATTAAAATCTGGCCTGAAAACACTAAACATGCCCAGATTTGATACCAAGACTAAAGTTATTTACATCTACCTTTGTATTTGATGTTGATTTTTATTTTATAATTGGCAGCCATAATTGTTCAAATTAATCTCAGTTAAGTTCCAGTCTTTGACATAAATTCCAGAGGACATAAATTGTCGCGGAAAACAATGGTTAACTTCTGATAGAGTTCAGATGTTATGTCTGCCAGTTGAGGGCAGTGTTGTCTCTATGATTGAGCAAATGGAACAGCAATGTCACCTGACTGGGAAGCAAATTTTTCTATCTCAAGATAGTTGTTCACAGAAATGTACAACATGGCACTATTTTACCCCCTGTACTATTGAGTGTGGATCGATACATGGATCCTCCACAGTATCAGGTTGATGCCATGTTTAAGCAATCCATGTTGGATTTAAGTATATTTTTGGTGTTTCAACAATCTTGATATTGAGAGAAATTTGAAGGCTTGCAATATATAATTAAAATAGACAACCATCCCAACAAATCCATTCACAAAGATCAGTGTCCTTTTCAGATGTAAACCTGAACTGTCTTCTTTTTAACAATTACATTTCCTAATATGGATTTGTATCAGTGTATGTATGATCATCCTAGTTTGTTCCCTAGATCACGAGATCAAAGATGCAGTGAGAGTGATCATGAAAGAGAAGAACACGCTACTGCCTAGAGCAGGCAGGCATAATCTCCTGGTATTTACTGCAACATAGGCCATGTTTCTCAGCCTATTACTTGGCTGATCTTTTGCTTTTGGGTGGAAAAGGTGAGTTTTATGTACTAGAAAGCCCTGAAATGATGAACACTTATCTGGAGCTGTAGGGAATTTCCTGGGCTCATCCAGCTGTGCTCCATTTGGCGTGCAGCCTCATCAGAACCAGCTGCCCGTATGTGCATATGTGTGGGGTGAGATAAAAAGACAGTGTATGTTGCGTGGCCAATTTTTGCAGCTCTTCCTATACTCTCTCTGTTCCCTCAAACCCAGCAGTGTTTGAAGTTTTATTGACTCCTCATATAACTTGGATGCGAAGGCAACTCTGTTAAATGCTTCGGAGTGGCATGTTCGCACATTTGTTATGTAAAACCAGATTAAGGACGTGTTTTATCTTCAGCTCATTTGCAGATGCTCGCGGCGACAGAGTTGTCATCTTCATTGCGTTTGTTTCACAGAGCCCTGCTGGCTGGGGGAGGCTTCTCCACGTGGACATACAGGCAGGGTTATGATGTCAGCATCCCCGTGTATAGCCCCTTATCTGCTGAGGTGGACCTTCCTGAAAGGCAACCAGGGTGAGATCCTGCTCATTGATTAGCCGGATTAAATTTAATGATGGAAAATGTCGTCAAATTATACGCGTTTTCTACAGGCCTCGGCGGTACTTCATTCTATCGTCTCAGACGGCCATCCATCGGGAATACCGTGTGGAACTGGAGAGGCTGAAGGAGGAGAATGGGGAGGCCCTGCTCCTCCTAGACAAATGCAGTAACCTCTCTCAGGGCTTGGCCTCAGTCAGAAAGCGCTGCTATAAAGGACAGGTCTACGACTACCCACAAATCTTACAGGTTGGTGTCTCTGAACATCCATTCATATTAAACAACATTCAATTCACTTAGAATGGAGTATATTTTAAATAGCTTCAATTACATTGCATACATTTTCAACGACTGGACTAACATCTGATTAAAATTTTTTATTATAAATAAATGATTTGTTAATTTTTCTGATGACTATGATACTCCATGAGTTTTGTCATAAATGATTGATTATCATTGTGTAAATAAAGCCCATCCCGCATTTGAGAAATAATGTTCCTAGCTGCTTTAAAGGGTTAGTTCACCCAAAAATGAAAATTCTGTCATTAATTACCCCCCTTATGTCATTCCAAACCCATAAGATCATCAGAACACAGATGAAGATCTTTTTGATGAAATCTGAGAGCTTTCTGTCTCAACATTGACAGCCTACGCGACTAAAATCTTAATTTGTGTTCGGAAGAACGAAATTCTTAGGGGTTTGGAACGATATGAGGGTGAGGAAGCAATGACAGTTTTTTTTTTTTTTGGTGATCAAACCCTTTAAAGGTTCATGATAAATAAATACATTTATTGATCTTCAACTTGTAATGTCTTTGTGCCAGTAAAGTATCATGAAAGTTTCATGAAAACGTCCTCCCTATTAAAGACACTTCCTCTAGAGCAAGACTTTGATGAAAAGTTAAATATCGTTGCACCATAAACCCCACCCACTGGTACTCAGTCACTTAATAGCTAACAACTGTCTAGATACTGTTTTGTCACGTCCTGTTTAAACTGTTAATTTGGCCCTCTGGACTTCAGTAGCACACCCATGTCAGGAACAAGTGGATGGTATATTTTTAATGGCGTCTCTGAGCATGTTGTAGGATTATATGTTTGTTCAAAAGGCCAAATGGCTATTTTGCATAAATATATTTATACTGTACTATATATATATATATATATATATATATATATAATTGTACAAAGACATTTTATTACCTCAAGGAATACACTAAAATAACAAAAAAAAAAATGTAATGAGCTCTTTAAATATTTAACCCATTCATAAACTATCTTTATCACTGCAACACATTTCTCCATCAGTATAAGCAATAGAAACAAACACTGTTCCTGTCCACCACGCTCATCTCCCGTCCAGCCCTGTCTAGACAGGAAGTATGCATATCATCTGGGCTGGGTGCTGCAGCACATCTGGGAGACGTTCCACAGTGAGGAGGAGCGGAGGCCAAATCCCTGTGAGAGAGCCCCCCCCCCCTCCTTTTCAACACAAAGCCCCTCTAGACTCTGATCCTAGCACCTTTCGTTACAACTCCTTCATTTACACCACACACCTAGATTACAGTACTGTCTATGTTACAGCACCAGTGAAGAGCTCTGGGGGTGTATCGATATTAGATATAACAAATGTATCCCCTGTGTGTTCTGTAGGAGTCGTCATTCTGTGTGGTTCTGCGTGGGGCCCGGCTCGGACAGGCCACTCTCAGTGATGTGCTGCAGGCCGGATGTGTCCCCGTCATCATGGCTGATTCCTACATTCTGCCTTTCTCTGAAGTACTGGACTGGAAAAGGTAAACACCAAAATTCCAGTGTTGTCAGTCACTTTCATCATGAATAAAGGTGCTAATCACCTTATGAATATCTAATGAAGAAAATCATATTAAACACTTAATTATAGCTTCTGAAAATCAGGAGCTAAAAGAGATGTAATGCTTAACAGATCAGAAGTTCATGAACATTTAGATATGGAAAAATGACAAGCACATGCACAACAAATAAAGCAAACAAAAGACATGTCGCTATCTTTGTCTATTTTATTCTTTTTTTGTTGTGCATATGCATATGCTTGTGTTTGTAATATTTTAATATCTGAATTCATATCTGAATTAGTTCTGGTTATGTGTTTTCATACACTGTAATATTGACTTGGTCACATGAAAATCAAGCACATGGACTAATACAGTGTCATTTCTATTCGTGTACTTGCAGGGCATCCGTTGTCATTCCAGAAGAAAAGTTGCCTGAGATGTACACTATTTTGAAGAGCATCCCTCACAGACAGGTTGAGGAGATGCAGAGACAGGTAAGAATGCTTTTACAGCGTTGTATTTATGATCAGAAAGTGAATTCATTTGTTGTGTTTGATGGATAATGTTCACTATTGAGTCAGTCCAAGGACCGAAAATTAAAGCGAAGACACTTTTTGTACAATTCACTCTTGTCATTTACTGCAAAAATTTGAGCAGAAGTACCAAATAAACTCAGAGCTATATGTGAAAAACGGTCCAACAAGGTTCCAATAACCCTCAACCTGGTGTGACAGTTGCTAAACAGTACCAAATGCTGTCAAAACTGATGGCAGAGTTCAATAATAGCCGAGTCATTCTCAGGCTGAATGCAAGCAACCCTCTCAGGTTTAATAAAGGGTGAAGGCAAGGTTAAAGGAGTCACAACCTCTCTTATTCTCTACTACATTCTTTCTTCTTTTCAATGGAGTGCTAGCACCACTATGAAAATAAATGTTAGACAGGTGGGTTAATGCCAAAAACAATATTCCTTCAAGTGTGTGCTTCTGATTCTCTGAAGATGAAATTTCTCTCGCCACATTAAATCATGATGAAAGCTAATTTTAAGTATTAGTGATGTATCTTTATCGAAACAAATTGTTAACCGCACACTTTTTCTTCAGCCTTTTCAGCTGTTAAAGTATATTAATGTGGCTAAACCACATGGAATACATGTAAAGAGATATTTTATTAAAAGAGGTATTTTACTAAAGAGAAACTAAGAGTAATTCTATGTTGCCATGTAGAATACTATAAGTTAGCCATAATTAATAATTATTGCATCCTGCTTCCACTGACTTCTTGAGCAATCTTAAGTTCTTCATCTCGATGTTGAATATTTTCTGTGGAGAATGTTGTAGTTTAGTTCCACAGGTTTCTGGGTGGTGTTAAGACTTGGTGTGCAGAAACACATCTTTTGCTGGAATTATGACATGGCACAAAGCCAGGGAGATATCAGCCCACACTTGAACACATCTTGATCCACTCCTTTCTTACTAGCATATACCACCTCCAGACAGCAGAGCGATTGTATGGCTGCCATTGTACAAAAGAACCGGGTCTTGATGTATACCTTACTTGGATTTAAAAAAAAACTACTTTGTTCTTGATCTTGCCAGAAAACATCCCCCTTGAACTTTCTGGGTCGGACTGAATAAAATGCAAAAGTAATGTAGACAGTTGAGTATTGGAATACGTGTAGTGTACTGTAGCTTCTCTGCATTTTGACCAATAGAGGGGGCAGCCATCTACTGTACTTCACGGTGTGATCTCCAAGTCTTCAAGCCTCCAGTTTGTGTGCATGTTTTACTCAGCGCTTATTACTTTTGCCTAATGGTTATTTAGTATAATCAGTACATATACTAATGTTATTTGTTATATTGGCAGTCATTTAGGACTAAATAATGTACTAAACTACTCTGACAGTCTTTGCTGTGCGGTTGTTTTTGCCCTCAAAAACCCTCAAAAAGTGACAACTTTAACATGATGATGCTATATAAAAATATATGTGGGGTATTTTGAGCTAAAACATCACATGCACACTCTGGGGACATCAGAGGTGTATTTTACATCTTGTGAAAAGGGCATTATACCACCCCTTTAAACTAAGATACTTTATGCTAATAGTGTCAATATTATGAAATAAATTAAATGTTACATATTTTTTTGTTTGTGTGTTATAATGTTTATATAGTTAAGCCCCATTTTTGTATTGCTTTTATGCCACATTTGAAAGTCAGTAAAAAGTTGTTAGTTTATTTTATTTATTGAAATTACACAATCATTTGGCAATAGAATTGCTTTTTTTTTTCTAAATATTTTTTTTACTTAAAATCTCTAAAAGAATCGTTTATGTTACAAGAGTCATTGAGATAAATTGGAACCAGAATCATTAAGTTCTTTATGATTTCGATCCACAGTTATTATAGCAACAGTTATGTTTTATGTAGAATAGTGTCCTATAAAAGCACAGAGGAAGGAATGTTTCTTGTATGTTCAAGAGTGTATTGTATGAAGAACCTTAAGTGTGTGAGAAGAGCAGCCAATGTTTTCTCCTCTCACGAGAATCCGTCTCTTCCCTCCTCATAAAAATTCTTGCAAGCGTTCAAATGGGGCGGGTTCGGCACTTGGTGGGTGCGGTTTTCTCTCTGCCTTCTCCTGGTCGGAAAGGAAACTTTCATCACGAGCTGATTTATGGGCCGCTGCGCTCCCCTTGGGATCAGAAAGTCTTTTTGAATCCTCTTCCCCTCTCCATAAAAAGAAAAGCTGTTTTTGTGTAGTTGTATTTCTTTAAGGTTTAAGGGCCAGGCCCGTGGGGGCCAGTGGAAGGGGGAGTGACAGCGCTCTTCTAATGTGCTGAACTGAGTTCTGGGTTGGGAAATGACAACAAACACACCATCCAATGAAGCGATGAGCAGCTAAAGTCCCTCAGAAGTAAATAAATAATTAAATAAATAGCCTTTCTGCAGTGATTTTTAGTTTACTTAAGTGAGAGTAACTGGAATGGTCAGAGGGTGCTCTGTTTTTAATGTTTCGCAAACCTGTTTAATCAACTCCTTTTTTAAAGAAGGACCATTAGAGCGCTGACATTGTTCAGTAATTGGCCCAAGAAAGTGTAGGAAAGCCCTTATTCTTTTTTTTTTTATTCTTTAAAAAAAAAAAAAAAAAAAAGTATATTCACCCTGGTCTCATTTGAGTCTTTGTATTTGGACCCAATCTGACACTGTTTGTGGTCAGGCCAGGTAATGAGGCTGCCCCCAGCCTGCACTTGGTTGAGCCTGTTAAAGAGAACAGGGTCAAACAGGACCAGGAAGGGTGGAGCCGGGTCACTGCGGCATGGCGCCTCCTAGCAGGAGATAGCACTGTTTTATGGGTAATTAACTCTTATGTGCTCCTCGCCCCTCTCTGCTGGAGCCTTGGGTTTGTTAATGGATCGGCAGCGGTGGGCATAGAGTGTGTGTTCTTGTATTGACAGATTATTTATAGATTTTTATTTGTATGTAAAGACCAGGGTTTAATTGTTAAATTTTTAAGTTGGATTTAATTTATGCAAGCTGCCAGACTTTTGTTGTAACTGGTAAAAGTATGGGCTATTTTATTCTCTAATGGTATTATGGAAATTATTTCTTATTTTAGTTCACTACTGTTCAAAAATTTGGGGTTTGGTAAGGTTTTTAAAAATGTATTAAAGTTTCTTATCCTCGAGGCTGTGTATTTATTATTACCAATACAGTAAAAACAGTAATATTCCATTTTAACTGTTATTCTCGTGATGGCAAAGCTGAATTTTCAGCGTCATTACTCCAGTTTTCGGACATGATCCTTCAGAAATCATTCTAATATGCTGATTTGGTGAAACAATCAATTAATCAATTGATTCATCATTTCTTCGTGTACATGAGTACTATCCTTTTTCTGTATCACATCGGCATTTATAACAGCATGGCAAATGTGATTACACTGCAGCATGTCCCTGTGCTGGAGTAAAATGACCTGACCTCTGCTCTTAAACTTTAGCTGCAGTCTCAGTGCCACTTGAGTGGAAAAGTTAAAAGACTGATAGTCTAAAGGGCTCATAACCACCTGGAATGGTCCCTGCAGTCATGTCACCAGTGTTTTAATGGGCTGTTTTGCCTTTGAAAGTGTGTAGGGGTCATAAAGGCATGAGCAGGATGGTGGGAGTTAAAGGATGTGAGAGGCCTTATCTTTTTCCTTTGGTTTGTATCTTTCACATGGTTTTTGTGTGCATATATATTTCTGTTTATCAGCGTGTCTGTGCGATGCTGCTCTTCCCATAAATATTTGAATGCCATGTCAATCATTCATTGTTTCCTAGGCCCGCTGGTTCTGGGATGCCTACTTCAGCTCCATGAAGGCTATTGGCATGACGACTCTCCAGATAATTAATGATCGCATCTACCCATATGCAGCTCGTACCTACGAAGAGTGGAACAATCCTCCTGTAGTTGTAAGTAACATTTTTGGTCTTTTAAATGTAAAATGAGTTTCTCCAAACAGTCTACATGCTATTTAGAGCTGTTTCTTGGTGAATAATCAGACTGAAGACTGTTCTAAGTAATTCAGTGTGATTTTTGTGTTATTTGTTCATTTATTGTCACTCTAAAATAATTACTACCAGGGGCCTGATGTATAAACATTGCGTATGCACAAAATGGGCATAGAAATATGCGTACGCATTTTTCCACGCACATATCGGGATTTATAAAAAATAAACTTGGCATAAATAAGTGCGCACCGTAAGGATGCTCTTGACTGTGCGTACGCACTCTTTTAGAAGAGTATGTGTTTTGGCGACACTGATGGTGAGCTGGAGTCAAATCTCTTTTTATACATCTTTTTATACATATTATACATCTACAGAAATATAATTCAAATATAATTTCACAAACCTATATCATCACTTGAAGCAAACATCCATCCCTTCTTAAATGAGCGCGCCAGCACGCGCGTTGGGTCGTTTAGTGAGACTGACGCACATATAGGCTAGCCTATCTAACGGCAGATGGAGTAAAACCGTAAATCTTCATCATGAATCCAAATCATAAATAGAGTGCATGTTCTCAATAACAGTTTAAATAAATAAAAGAATGATTTAAACTATGTACTTCTGATATAAACGTTTAGAATAAATATGCCATTCTCATTAATGGAGTTAAACTTAAACTAGCCTACATGAAATCATTACTGAGAAGTTACAAAAAAAATTATATTCAATAAATAGAAATAGACATGTTTGTTGTGGATGCAATGCTTTTGAACACTTTTCTTCTGGCATGCTGTGTTTTAATGTTTTAACTTGAGATAATTGCTAATCATGATAATAGCAGATTGTCTGAGAAAATTGTTTCGTGCAAATAATGCACAACCATGTCTATCTGTTTCCATTAAAATATAAATCAATTAAAAATACTATTTGGCCAGTGGAAAAGATTGAGAAAAACTTTCACTGAAATGTATTTAACACTATTTAATTTATTCATTCAAAAACAAGGCAATGCTATAGGCTACTAAAAAAAAAAAAATATGTTTGTAATGTGACGGCACATCCACATTTCATATTTTCCTAACGTCTTGTACTGTTAAACTTGATATCACGTGGATGAATAATCATATGCAAATGATATGCGGATGAGGATATGCATATTTAAACTAGGCGTTGTAATCTCCATATATGGTTATTTCGTGGAGGAGACGCACGTGCGCACAATCTCCTGCTGACTGGGATTTATAAAGTGAATTCTGCACAGGTTCTGGCGTACGAACGGTTTTATAAATCTGAAAACTTTTGTGCGTACGCACACTTTAAGGATGAAATCTACGCAAAGTTTTATACATGAGGCCCCAGGTCTTTATTGGTGACTTTTTTGCCATTTGAATAATACAATCCAACCTGCTCTAACAACAAAAAAAGCAATACTACCTTATATATTTTGTTGTAGATTTAAAGTAGTTAATAGTTTCATTTTAATATCTTGTCATGTTTTCATTACATATATTTAGACTAAGTGTAAATAGGCCTTTACCCCAAGCAAAGTGTTAAATCAATATCATGTTTTTTTTTGCCAGTCCTTCTGGTTTTATAGGCACCTATCCTTGTGGTGTGTAAGGACATTCTATATTTTTGCATAAAATTGTCCATGTTTTTCTTTAAACCGAATTTAAAGCTTAAATTATAGTTTAGATAAAGATATGTATGGATAAGTGAGAGTGTTTTTTGGAAAACAAAAGGAGTGGGCCTGTTCTTTTCAGCTTCATATCATTTCAAATGGCTTCACTCTAGTAGTGGCAACAGACAACTTTCAACAGGCAAAAGTCAAGACAACATCAACATTGCACATTGGTGTGAGCTTCAGATTAGTGTTGCGTCACATGAAGTACACTCTGTCTGTTAGCCAGTCCTCTATTGAGCACAATTCCCAGCTTGTAACTTGTGGTGTGCCAAAAAACAAGCATCTCTCAGATTTTGTACACAGTCATAACTTAGAACAGAAATGAGAGAAGTGAGTGTGGAGTTTATTAGGGCTTTCTTTCATTGTTGTTGTTCTTCACTAGTTCTCACCAGTTCTCATAGTCTCGCTGTACCATTCAGATCAGATGGAGGGATCCAGACCCCCAGGAGGCTAATAGTTCTGTCTCAGTATTTTGACTGCTAGCATTACGGGAAATCTTAAATAGTTTCTGAATGTTCAGTAAAACATGCTGAGCAGAATCGGAGCAGTACATAAATCGAGTGCATTTCTTGTTCTGCTTCCCTATATCCACCGGGACCTAATTGAAAGCACATTTCTTCAGCTCTGCCTTAGGAGACGTCATCAGGACAGGCAGCTTTTTGTGCTTGACTTCTTAGAGAACTCACATTCAGCCTCCAATGCTAACCAAAGAATGCTTTATGTTCAATCATACATTTATTATCTCTGAAGAATTCTCTTTTCGGGATGCCAGGTTGAATTTTTAAATGCTGAAATAACTGGAAAGGTTAATAGGGCTGAAAAAATCAGCCTGTATTGCATACGTGTGATCTGTAAATGTAGATCTTATCATGCGCACCAATGATATACATTTATCATCCTATTTTTTCCTTGCTTTGAAAAGAGTGCAGGCACTGTTGTTTATCTGTTTGAGGGACAAAAACTAAAGAAACATCTCCGCTGCTTGTTCATGACAGTTCGAATCTGCAAAAAGCCGCTGCCACTTAGAATGCAGCTCTTATTTTAGCCCAGTCTCTGTGATGTTAGCGATCGCTGCACATCAGCTTCAATGAGAATCTGGAGGTAAATGTTCTGCGCACTGAGCCTTTGCAATTGAACAGGCGTCCATGCTTTCATCTGGGTTCCATTTTCCACTAATCCCAAAGCTGTACTAGTATGATCCCAGCTGCAAGACTTGCCAATCCCCTTCGGCCCACATGAAACGGCCTGCAATCCCTCACCGTCACTCGAGCCGCCTGTAACCTCCTCTTCACGTATGACAAAAGAATACTGTTGCCCAATAACAAGCTCTTCATGAGTAATTGTACCTAAACGCGCACACTTTCGTATCCAAGATGATGGTAATGGCTTTGTCTTTAGGGGGTGAAATTCCTCTTCGTGCCATGTATTTCGAAGTGTAAATGAAGAGATTCAAATGGGACTTTTGCTGTGGTATTTTTTGGTTTGAGCAAATCTGCATTTACAGAAACAAGCCAAAAGTTGAGAACCCGGTCATTTATGGCTTGGTCCAAATAGCAGGTGAACGCTGCTGACTAACCGCAAGCAAATATTCTGGCATTGGCTGTCGGAATAAAAAATTAGTCTTGTTTTCCTGCGTATTTGCTTTAACAAATCACAAAGACTTGACATACGCTGAACCGCACTGGAGCCTGCCCAATTAGATCAGAGCGTTCTGACCGAGGTAATATGCACCACACCCAAGTGTTCTTCTTTATTCTTCTTACCACTTATATGTCATAGTGGTACTTTAATTATTTCCCCTCTGCTTTTGGTGTCCGTGTCAGGCACCTCAAAGAAATTTCCATTGGCATATAAAGTTTGTTTTTTATTAGCAGGATGGTTGACTGATGTTGTATGAAGGACGGCTGTGTCCATGGTGACAGACCGTGGCGGACGCTGCGAGGGATCTGGTTAACCACCACTCTCTGTTTGCGGGCACCTTCAGCAGCTGCTTTATAGGAGGGTGAAATGGGCCCACAGCCTTGCTGTAGGCTATCATTCCCATTGAATCTCTTCTTGCGGGTCACATTTTGTGAGCCCTTTGAGGTTTTTTTTTTTTTTTTTAATCCAATTCACGTTTTGATTAAAGGAAGTGTTATTAGAACTGTTATGAGGAAAATTTAAATAAACCGTTCAATGAAGGCCTCAGTACAGTAGTGAGAATTTGACAGACAGTTTTAATTAAAATTTCTCTCTTGTAAGAAACAAAATCCTAATTGGATTTTGCCAAAAATATGCAAATAATCTTCAAAATGTTGAAGTCCAATGCTGAATTTTCCTTATGCATTGGAGTTTTTGGAAAATATAAATTAAATGATTCTTCCTATTAAAAGTGAAGCAATCTTTTTTTGTTTTCTTGGTTTCACCAAGCTTTTCGTTATTTGTCGCTTTGTTTTGTGTCTCTTCTCCACTGTCAAAGTAGAAAAGACCATGAAACAGCAAAGAAAGTCTGTGTACTGGCTCCGCATACTCGGTCTGTGTTCAGTCCTTATCCTTCAGGCCAATAAACAGCAGTCTTTGTGACCGCATCAGAGGCCCTTTAAGCACTCGCAATACTTACTTTACAGCGTCACTTGATCTGGGCTCCAGTCCGTGCATCTTTGGGAGTTTACAGGCTGTTTTAAAGCGGGCCAGGAAGATGAGCCAAGCCCCACACTGGCAGGAGACAGCCACTGACGCCGATAGCGTCCCAGCACCCCTGCTTCACCCCGGTCCTGCCAGGACTCATCTGCACCCCTGCTGCAGCAGAGTTCACTGGAGTGCAGTCATAAAATTCTACTCTCGACAAAACGGCTCAGGATAAATGGCAACATAAGAGATCCAAATTAGAATCGGATTTGTGCTCATTAATAGATGTATCCCTTTACATTAAAACTTGAGCTTGCTTTGGTGGTGGTCTAATGGATTAACAGCCACTGTAAACACGTTTTATACATACATAAACTGCTGAAGAAGCATACGGAATAAAACAGGAATTGATATAAAATATAAATATGAGACCGAATACAGTTCCCACGTTTACATTGTGTTTATATAACTATTTTACAGCTCATGGCTTGAGTATTTCCATAATTCCGAATATAATGATTTGATGAGGGAATAAATAATGTCTGTAATAGAGATCTGTCTTTTGGAGCTGTGTAGGTCTAGCTCATCTGTTGATGGTCTTGATAAGATTAAACGTACTGAGGTTTTGTTGACTACACCTAACGGTAATGATAACTGCTGTTCTATAAATGTTTTACACGTGTATTAAGTTCTCAGTTTCTATACTTATTTTGTAGGAAGGGAAATCTTAAGAGCGTTTATGTTTTGACCAAGCTTCAGAGGATACCATATGTTTTCATTTTATTTCAAGAAGAACACCAGGAAGTTTAACATTCTAATCAAATTCAGATACATAACAGTTAACAGGAAAAGCATGGATTGATGCTATGGAATGACAAAGAGCCCGAGGCAAGGAAGTATTTAATTTAGCTCTTAATATCTGACCAAAGTGTATTGGATCTTCACATTGTCGTCTTCTGCTCTCCGCCAGATTTCACTCGGGTCAGCTAAGGAAAACATGTCTCTGAATCCATCCACTTTTTGAAATTTAGTCTACCAGAAGGAATGTAGCACCTATGCACACAAAGCCTGTAGTGGATTAAACTGCGATAGGAGTTTTACAGGACTGTCATGATTGAGATATTTTATTGGGTAGCTTCAAGTCCTAGGTTAGAGAGTAAAACTCTGGCAAAAATAAAAAGATTAAGCACGTTCAGCCAAAGACTGAAGGAGAAGGTTTTAGACGAATACTTTGGCAGAATGAAAGGTCATGGCATGCTGCTCCAGCTGTTTGTTAACTCTGCTCTAAACTTTGTTGGTTGTGCGCTCGACATTCCATGCCACCTTTAATCGCCTACCCACCACTGCTGGTTATTAGCATTCTCAGTAATCTTTAAATTTTATAGCCTATGCGTGTTTCCAAATAAAGCCATGTTTTGGCTGAGGCTGCTGATTATCTTATTGCACTTCAAGTCATTAAAAAAGTCATGGAAAGTGCTTGCGGTTATTGTAAAGATAAGAAACTGGTACATTGAATTGAGTTTCCCACTGATTTATTTAAATTTGTTGTGATTTTTTTTTTCTTTCTTTTTTTTCACCCACAGAAATGGTCAAGTGTGAACAGCCCACTTTTCCTTCCTCTCATACCACCACGCTCTCCTGGGTTCACGGCTGTGGTGTTGACATATGATCGAATTGAAAGCCTCTTTAGGGTCATCACTGAGATCTCCAAGGTGCCAAGCTTGGCCAAACTGCTGGTGGTGTGGAATAACCAGAACAAGAGCCCCCCTGAAGGTCAGTGTCATGAAGGGGGTAAAATGTAATGCTAAATCATTGAAAATAGAGACATATTTCAATCTCTGCTTTTCTATTTTAAAATACAATTTTTATTAGGGACATTTTAGTTACTATTTGTAAATGTTTTAACTAATCCCTTCCCTTTTTCTTTGTGTTATGTTTTGATGAATTGTATGTGTGCAATAATGACTGTATGTTTGGATGTCCTCCAGCATATTGTTGTACTCCTGCCAGGCTGTTGCAAATTAGAAATGTGAATTAGAATTGACTTGCCTCGTTGAATAAATGTGATTGCCCATATTGGCAGAGATTAGAAATTGCTTATGTCCACTATACTGTAAAAAAATATTGTTGGTTTAACTTAAAAAAATGAAGTAACCTGGTTGCCTTAAAATTTTAAGTTCATTGAGATGGAAAAATGTAGTTTTAATTCTGATTTAATCAATCAGAAACTCAAAATATTACGTTATCTGAACCACATAAATTATTTAAGTTGAGTTGACAAAAGAAAAAATGTTGTGATTACAAATGTGTATTTTTACTACTTTTTGGCATTCATGTAATACTCACTTAAGTTAATCTATTAAACTTAACATTGCTAAATGTAAACTTGGCAAATGAATATCCTTTTTCATACTGTATATGAAAATGTTTTGATGCATTTTCATCATTTAAAATGATTGACTTTAGTTTGTGTTGTTGAAATTTCTTTTAGACAATATAGAACATAGAAACAGTACAGAATTAGGCCATAGCATGAGGACAAATATTGACATTAAAATTATTCTTCATATCTGCCAGAACTTCAATATCAGTGCCATACACTATCTGGCTAATAAAACTTATTTTGTTATATTCATATTTTCTTTATTTTAGTAATTATTTTATTTGAAAAGAGATAACTAAATCTACTCTGCTGTACTGACAGCTTTAGTTATTAAAGAATGTGACACCAGTATGAAATGCAGTCGTGTGGCTCTCGCAAAAGACATGAAACCCCTGATATGGAACAGATGAATGATAAGCTAGTGAGTTGCCAAATCGTGTTCCTCTTGAGGTTGGAGAATTGAAAGCATGATGTGCCTTGGTCTGGAGCCAGACCTTTCTGGTTTATCTTCAAGATATGAAATTAGAACCCAAGCGTTTGGTCCATCCACTGGCATCTAATTGCACATGAGAAGACGACATACATTTGGCTTTTCTCATCGACTGTTTACAAGCTGTTAATGTCGATGAGTCCTCTTACTCCAGACTAGACGAATTATGTGTATTTTAATTCATTTTGATATATGGCCTGTTTTCACCAGACGTCCACCCTTAAACTTTATTGTCAAACCGAAAGGATCATTTCAATAACGGTCTTCCTTTTCTACAGCTGTGGTCAAATTTATGGCACATTAGACATGTCAAAATAAGCTGATATTAGTAGTTATTTATTGTGGCTCTGCCTCTGATACTGCTTAACAAGGCGATTAGATGTGTTCATTTATGAACCCTGGGGAAAAAAAGAGGAATCAGGAATTAAATATATCCTCTCCATAGATTTGAGTAATGCCATTATGAAGGGAAATACTTTGAAGTAGACTAATGGTTCTGTGTTGCCTTTGATTAGAGGCGTCGGTGAAGTTGGGCTCAAGCTTTTTGACCCATTAGACTTAATAAGGTCTGTTCACGGGTCAACCTGGGGCTCAAGTCCTGATGAGGATGGATTTCCTCCACACCCTTTTCCGTCGCTGATTATGTTTGTTTATTTCGAGCAGTCTTAGCTGCCCAAATCTTGACTGTCATTTTAATGAGGTGTTGGAGAACTCTGACAAAAGGATTGCGTCGAGGGAGTTTCTCAATTGGCTTAATACACTCGGAAGGGAGGAGAAACGTTATACGGTGGTGTCACAGGGGATATCATTTTCTGAAGCAAATAAAAGCAAATGTTCATACATAAAGTACAGCCCAAGTGAAATTTCAGTACTGGGCAAGGAAGTGATTACTGGCCATTAAAAAAAGTTTCCCATAGGTTGTGCAGTGCTTGTTCTTATGGTGCAGATTTATGATGTGTGAACATTTAAGTTTGTGCATTGTGCTGCTCTAGATCATGCCGGTTAGGTTTAGTTAAAATGTTACTTGCCTTTGTAGTCCTTCTTGTCTGTGTTTGTCTTTGTCTTAGTTGAAAACACTGTGCCAGGCTTGGATGTGGTGACAGTGTCAGTTTACTTGCATGTGAAGATCTCGCTCTTCTTTCAGCCCCTGTCTGGGGCCAGGGAGGTTTTCCGGTAGTTAGGAAATACTTTTTTCTTTTCTTTTCATAGTTTGTTGTGTGATCTCGTGGAAGCACACTGTAGGCTCAAATGCTTCATCCTAACGGAGATGAGCTCATTCCAGATCTCTGGAGATTTCGAGGGTCTATACTCTGGCTTTGGGGTACCAGTGTAATTGCAGACTCTCCTAGTCTTAGGGTTTCTGTGTTTGAGTTCCAGTAGACTCTCTCATCAGGTTTATTAGGTGACACTTTGTGCCATCTGTCTTCTGCGTGCTCTGAACTCCTCCCAAGCCCTTACACAACTGAAAATAAAGAGCGTTGTCTCTTCTGCCCTGAGAAGAATGTGCATGCGGTCAGATTCATATGTGCTTTTACTCAGTGATGTGTTTAGATTTATCCACCCACGCTCTCTTTTCCACAGTTGCTGCCATCTTTCATAGTTTTTCATCTTCTCTGAAACTGACAGTGTATTATTATAATTATTAGCTCACTTTTTTCTTTTTCTCTTTCTCTCTGTAACAGAGACACTGTGGCCCAAAGTCGCAGTACCTCTTAAAGTGGTCCGCACCAAAGAAAACAAGCTCAGCAATCGCTTCTTCCCGTTCGATGAGATCGAGACGGAAGCTGTCCTGGCCATTGATGATGACATCATCATGTTGACCTCAGATGAGCTGCAGTTTGGATATGAGGTAGTGAAAGCACCAAATCCCTGTTTGCATACTTCTACTTGCTATGAAAAGCATGCACTACACTGATGAAGGTTTAGTACATACTGGTAGTTTGAAGCAAGTCAGCACATCAGTATTGGATGTTGAAGCTACATCAATTCGCAAACCAGCCCTGTCCTCTAACATATCACATGCACTATTGCTTAAAAGTTTGGGGCCAGTAAGATTATTATTATTATTATTTGCAGTAGCATTATTACTTTAAGAAATTAATTAATGTAAACACTACGTTCAGATTCACCAATCGGAATGAATTCAGTTCGATTTAAACAAAAGGTGTGCATGTAAACAATGAATGGTGACTGCATAAAGCAAAAGCTGAATCCTGGACATTGACGGCCGGACATGTTCGGGAAAAAGACAAGAGGATGGTTACCCCTACTACTCAGCTTTCTTCACAGAACAAGAGCCTGCTAGCTTAGCTTCCCAAAAAAAGATGGCTGACACTATGTGTACAATCTGTGAGTGAGATCCTACCCTCTATGGGTGGGTTGGGAACATGCGGGACAGCCTCTTCTACTGACTGTAGTCTTCAGCCTCTGGCCAAAAAATCCTCAGATGACGCAAAATGACGCATATGAGGGTAGAAAGAATGGTAATTCGAAAATACTACAGGTATTCTACTAATACAACGCTTAATGCTAAATCCTAAATAAATACATTTTTTTGTAACAAAAAATATCCATTTCAAATAAATCCTGCTCTTGACAAAAGGTATCAAGGTTTCCACAAAAACTGCATTTAGGGAGAAATAAATACCTTTCTCCCTAGATGCTTAGAGTTTATTTGGAGCATTTGATGTTTGTGTTAAAGAAAACCATTCCATCTAGCTTTATCATTCTCACTGTAAAAAATAATACAGTGATACAATAATAAAAAAACGGCAGCTGTGGTTACCACAACTTTTCAGTCAAAAACGTAGCAACGTTATTGGTTTTACAGACTTAACTTAAAATTTACAGTAACAAACCGTATTCCATTATCTGATAAAATGTTAATTTACCGTCTTATTTAAGTATTAATATATGTGTTTTACCATTGTAATACACTTACAACCAACTATCAAAGCAGCGAATGAGTCACATGATCAATCAAATCTCATCACAAGGAGTTTTTTCCACAGGAAAGTTAATGCTAATATATAGAAGCTGCACAATGTTATTTGCACAAACATTAAATAGCATCATGGAAACACACATGAAATGTAAAAAAATGCAATTACCATTAATTTAACAACATTAAATGTAACATAAAACCCTAATTTACACAACTGATTAGAGAAAAAACAATGAAGAAACAGTTATTTCAACAGAAATGCATTGTGGGAATGTCAATCTGTTTGTTTTTTTTGCTTTAAATTATACAATGAGTTCTTTTTCATGGTAAATTTAACTGTATTTTACATTAAATGTAGCATTAGATCCATCACAGTTATTTACCATATATAGTAAGGAAACTTTCATTTTCACTGTAGTTTTGTACCGTTAATATCACAACGATTTTTTACAGTGCATGTAATATAGCCTCCATTTGACTTTGAAGATTATCACACTGGATGAACACCTTTTATCTTGATAGTTAAGTGGATTCTATTGAAGTAGTTGCTTTTAAACCAAATTCACAGAATCTGGAGCAACTAAGGGTAAATTGTCATCTCCACATGCAAGATTATGATCGAGTCTGTGATCCCAGAACCTCTTTGGGTCAGAGTTTACATGCATCGCAGGATTTTTGAACTATCCTCTATTTCCTAAATGTGTGCTCGGCATCTCAAAAGCATTCCTTACAGTTGAAGTCTCTATTTTTATAATTTAGCTTTTTATATGTGAAGGATGACAGGACAAGCAATCCTATCCATGGCTACAGGCTTGCCTTCAGCTCACCTGCAGGCATTTATACACTATTGAGCGAATGATGTGTAATTTATGGATAATTGTATGAAATGGAACACAGCTTTAGACATGGCTGCCTGGCTAAAACACTAGCTGCTTATGCCACTCGAGAATGACATTCAAGAATTTCTACATCATATCCTGTAGGCCTGCCTGTCATTTTGGGGATTAATGAACCATTAGACTTAAACTTCATTGATTTAACCTTTGAAATCCATGGTTTAGCATCCTTTGAAGACAGTATTATCTAAAATGACTCTAATTGTTGAACAGTTTACTGATCTTTTATGGTCTTAGCATTTTTGAAGGTTTATATTATGGCTCTGATATACTGTGTGTCTGTGTTTAGGTATGGCGTGAGTTCCCAGATAGGCTGGTTGGATATCCCGGTCGGCTCCACTTATGGGACCACGAGATGGGCAAGTGGAAATATGAGTCTGAGTGGACCAATGAAGTGTCAATGGTCTTGACTGGAGCTGCGTTCTACCATAAGGTAAAGTACAAAACCGTCATTGACTCAACCGTTAGTCAACTCCATCCAGGGTTGTGATCTGCCAAAATAATTTTCTCAGTGTTTTCATCTTCCTTCAGAGATCACGAGAGGGTTATACCATTTGGATTTCAAAACCTTCATTGATTTTCAGCTTGCTCTTTCAGTAACCATTCGTTGACTCATCCCTAATGCGATTTGACATAAGTTTATTTTTCCTTTCCAGTACTTCAACTATCTCTACACGTATAAAATGCCTGGAGACATCAAGAACTGGGTGGATGCTCATATGAACTGTGAGGATATTGCCATGAATTTCCTTGTTGCCAACATCACTGGCAAAGCCCCAATAAAGGTAACAAAAAATCAGCGTACTATATTGTTGACTGCATTAATGCCGCCAATGTGTTTTGGTTCTACAAATGGACTATACATCACAGATTTTGAATGCTTTTTTGAAATAAGTGTACACAGAGTTTTAGTAATGTGGTAAAATGTGATCACCAATGAACACGAATTTAAAAAAAAAAAAAAAAAATAGTCTTCACTGTATTTTTCTACATATACTCCCATTCAAAAATTAGGAGTCTCTAATTTGTTTTTGAAAAGTCTCTTATGTGCAGTAAGGCTGCATTTATTTGATCAAAACACAGTAAAAACAATAATTTTGTGAACATTTTTAAAAAAACAAATCATTTAATAGTCATCAGACATTACTTCAGCCTTCAGGGTCACATGGTGCTTTAGAAATCAAGTTTTTGGATAAAAAAAAAGAAAGTATGATCACATAAAAATGAATGTGGGGGTTCCCTAAAAGAATGCGGACGTTCTGACAACGTGCTCTGTCTCTGATCAGCCTTCTCCCTTCTCCCCTGTCTCTACAGTCTGTAGTCTACAGTGACTCTGTCCAGGTGCTGTTCGGCCTGTAAAGCCCTGGCCTTAACCTCTGTTATCTGGGTGTCACTGTCTACCTTACTCCTGCTCGCTCTGTTTTCCTAAACTCACTGGGGCACATTCATTCTGCAGTCAGTTACACTGTGAACCTTCTCCCGTCTCTCCTCCACATCCCCACATCACCCACACCTCCTAGTGCCCCAACCTCAGGCTCCCACTGTGGAGAGTGTCAGTCAAGTGTGTGTTGTTGGAGAAGGAATGGGGCAGAGGGGTCGTACATCATTCGTCTAATGAGCGCGGCAGATACGGTCGTTTAGCTAGGCCACGGGCACGGACGGCTCTCTCATTACATCTGACTTATATGACCTGTCATCAAGTCATCTCCTCCCACCCAGTTCCTACACACACACACACACACACACTCTTTACAGAGGCCCATCATTGCAGCCCAGGCTTATTATTAAACGTGTCAGATTTTGTTGTTTTTTTAATATAAGGAGGAGTGTGTCATGATTTCTCAACATTAAATTGGGAGCTATAGACTATAAGGAAAGGATCTGCTTTCTTATAATTTGAAAGTCAACTTGTTCCTCTAAATATTCCAAACAATTTTCAGGCGTTTTTTTTTTTTTGACAGATTTATTCAAACATACATGAGATAATTTAAGACATTAGTAACAATTTGAATAAAAATTTATTGCATTTATAGTAAAGTCTTTATATGTTTAACATATTTACAATTTTTGCTTTATACTTTTCAAGTGTTTTGTTTCTAGCTAACCAGCTTTCCTGAGATAAATGTTTCGTTGATGCCTTGATTAGGCAATTACGTTAGTGAGCATCAAAACAACATTTATTGTTTTGTTTTTAATAATAAAATTGCAAAAAAGGCTGTATTTTATAGCCTATTTGTTAAAAATGACATACCAGACTAACTCATAGTAATTATTGAAGAGCCACCAAATGTCAATATTGTAGCACTTCCTTGACTGAAAAACATATATTTGGTCTGCCTAATTTTTATCTTAAAATAATGTTTCTAAAATCGTTTCAGTGGTTCATTAAGTCGTAATAGGGTGAAAGGCACTTCTGAATTCACCTTGCGGTCCTATATCTGCTATAACCACGCTATGTAAGATGTTTCAAATGTCAAATGTCGCAATACATCATACTCTCATGAAATCATGCAACATACTCTACCTTGTCTGTGGACCTTGTTTGTTCCAAAGCCGGTGTTGGATAAATCACGAGCGTGTGTGCGACTGTAGGCTAAATTGTTTACGACAGCGGTAATGGACAATTCCGCTTCCAACCTGTAGGGCGACCACAGAGGAAAAGTTACTTAGTGTTGCTTTAATGTCATGAGGCTATGATTTTTATCAGGACAAAAACTTTTACTTTTTTTAAATATATTCAATTGTTATTATAGAGTTCTGTACAATATCAATGTTAAATCTGTATCTGCCATGAAATAGTCTGTGAAGCAGCTATGGCAATAAACTGAAATTCAACAGCACAATAAAACTGGCTGTTTGAGAACTTTTATTAATATATATATATATATATATATATATATATATATACACATACACAAAAACAAAACTCACAGCGACTTCGACAAAATGAGTATTACATTTGTTTTTTTCTCTTTCTCTAGGTTACACCTCGAAAGAAATTCAAGTGCCCGGAGTGCACAGCAATTGACGGGTTGTCCCTGGACCAGACGCACATGGTGGAGAGGTACAGTATAACCAGGGATTCCCTATATTTGGGCAGAGGGGGCTCTGGCAGGATTCTTAGCATATGAAACGCATTGTGGGTTTCACCAACAATTGGTTCATTGTAGCTCAGTACAGGACATACTTTCCTGTGCTCTGAGATCAAAACATTCAAATTCACTGGACCTTACGAAAAACGTTCCTTCTCAAAGAACTGTGACTTTCCTCTCTGTCAGAGTTTCACCAGAAATCATTAATTCATTCTGAGTTTCAATTTAAGTATGAACCAAGCAAAGCACGCATCAGAAAAGCTTGAATTGATTTTCCTCGAAAATCACAACCGTTTCCTCATCCGCTGAAGCAAAGTCTTGATGATTGGTTTCATACTTCCAAGCTGTGTTTGAGGAATTAAAGCAGGAGTCTGGTGGCCTGTGAAGCGGCCTGCGAGAGAGTGTTTGACCTTGAAGTGAATACGGAGTGGTTGCAGCCAATCAAGGGCTCCGTTGACTGCTGAACCTTTCCAGGGGTCACACTTGTTTAGATTGATGAAGGGTTTCCTGCCTCTGGTTATGCTTCTCTGATATGTGTCCTGTGAATTCCAGGCATTTTGAAAATATCTGATCCCCGTTGTTATATTTTGTGCATGTATCTCATGATTCAGATGACTCTAGAACACCATTTATTTTCTCCACAGAGCCATTTTTGGAAGGTTTTTTTTTTTGCTGTATTATCCAAGTTGCCCGATTTCCTCCACTCTTTCATCCTCTTTCTTTTTCCTCTCCAGGTCTGAGTGCATAAACAAATTTGCCTCTGTGTTCGGCACCATGCCTCTGAAGGTTGTGGAGCACCGTGCCGATCCTGTACTCTATAAAGACGACTTCCCAGAAAAACTCAAAAGTTTCCCCAACATTGGTAGTCTGTGACACTACCACAATGACTCTTTCCCATCACTTTTATCTATCAAACAGGCTATGGGCACTCCAGGATTTCTCTTTCTTGTTCTGTATCTGACCTAATGACTTTTGAGGAGTGCCTTTCCAATGGCGGTGTGATGGGAGCTGATGGACTCTATAACTTATTACCATATTTTCATTCTTGAGAACAGTTGCTGAAACAGGACGACACATCAAGACGGTTGATGATTTCTGAGGACGGGTCAGTGCTTAGGTCGGTCTGTCAATCACAAGCTGAAACCTTCCTTGTGGTTGACCGTATATATGTGTAAGGAAAGTGAACACACAGAGGAGCTATCTGCTAAACAGCATAGGATATATTAATGTAATTTTACATTTATAGTTTAACTTTTTTATGATATGCATCACGCTGAACAAATTGTAGCTTAACTTCAACTAAATATCTGGGGTGTCGGGATGGGGCTATTAGTTTGTTCATAGGATATTGTTTTGCACAGTCACTGATAGTGATTTTAATACTACAGTTTGAGTTATATCAGTTTGACATTTCATTTTATATTCTGTTGCTGACTTTTTGAATGTTGCTGGATAAAGTATTTTATGTAAATGTCTATTTCCCCTATTTAGGTAAACTCTTATGTCTGCCTAATTAAAGCATATTTTGTGTATTAATAGATATCAAAAGACACTATTTGCAGAGTTGTATATACTGTACAGCTGATAACAACATGGCTATATACCATGATATTGCAAATAACTCATTCGTTCATAATGTATTCTAGTTTCATTTTAGTGTCATCATTTCTTCCATAGAATTTGGTTGTTTGTTTGTTTGTTTTTTACATTACGATGTATTATATGTAATAAACAGTGAAAAAAAACTAAAATACTCAATGTAGGCATGTGCATTTTGGCTATTTTGAATATGATAGTACTTTTTTAACTGGTATACATGCGTCTTTGGCCTTTACATTGCATCTTGAAGACTTTACGGCATCTCACAATGCGAGTGTTGCATTTTTAAGATGGTTTGTCAGGTTAAGTTGCGCTCCACCTTGTTGAAACAAGTTGTCATCCCTTTCTAACCTCAAACAAATCACAAAATGGCCAGATTTTGGCATATTTGTGCATAGTTAGTGTGAAATATTCTGATGTTTTCATTCCCGTCACTTCCTAGTATTCAGGTTCTCATGCTCATCCCTAATTCGATGGTATGTTGACTTAGAGTAGATTTTGGATGAATTGTCTTCTTCTTTTTTCCCCAGCTGCCTGTGTTGTCTGGGCCCAGAAGCAGATGTCTGCGCGCTTTGAGTGATTTAGGTTCAGGAGCCTGCACGTCTGAGATAAATTCATTTCATCTCCAAGGGGAGTGAACTTGTAAAGAGAAATCTATTCTTGTTCTGACTCTTTCTGTCTAAAGAAAATGAAAATCTGGTAAGGAAGTTTCATCAACATGTTAAGTATTGGAAATGTCACTGAATGACCAATTACACACAGAGAGCCAGATTGTCTGCAGCTTGTGAAGCTTTTTATATACCACTGGCAAAACTGTCATATGAGTGCAGCAGTCACTTTTTCAGTACTTATCTCTGAGCTCAGCATCAAAGTAAAGTATTCATGCCGATCCAAGAGCCCTCGGTTAGTGATCAAGCACTGTCTGATTGGTCAAACTTTTTCTGTACCATTATGAAGGCATTTAACGTATTAAAACTGTATTGAAAGTAAAATAAGGTGCTTTCAGGATTTGTGCCCACTTTCATGCTGCTTTTCTAGATTTATATCCTTTAAGCTATTAATATACTGCACAGGAACATTTTGTATGATTAGTTTTTTTTTTTTATTCATCTGGATTTAGAGAAACACAAAAAATGAGCACACAGAAAATGTCAAATGAATTGAAACATCCATTGTAGAATACCCAGCACTTGTACTGTTAAACTTTAAAATGTTGCCTAGTAATTGTAGTTCCTATCCAACAGGAACTTCATGTCTTCAATATGTCTTTATTGGCATTTAATAATGCCAATAAAGTAAAATGATATTTATATCATGTTCTGAAATTTTTTTTTAAGGCTTAATTTTTTGGGTGGGGTGGGGTTTTAAACAAATTATACAAGTTTAAACAAAATATACAACTTGTAACAACAACAAATCTGAAAAATGCACATGAACAATTAATTTATCAGCCCTCTGTACTTCACCGTCATTTTCTCAGAGTACTTGATAGTTGATTGAGTGTACACACATTTTATAGTGATATTCCACTTGAATCAGATGTTCTCAAAGCAATTCCAACAATAAAAAAAATTGTAAGTGCAATAACTTACGGTTGTAAATCACACAATATATATAGACCGTAAACAAGCTTGAAAGTAAATAATTATTCAAAATGATTCAAAAGCCACGTTTAGCTTAAAGCCATCACAACTATTTTAGTTTCATTTACATACCAAACACCCAAATGAATCGCGATTTATACCTAGACCCACAATACAACAAAAGCCCTTAGTCACACATAAAATAATATATTTCTAATTAAGGATATTTTTACAAAATAAAAACGGGTCCAATGGTTTTTTTATGCCAGAAAGGAATCCAAAGAAATCCGCACATGCGACCACACACAAAACAAAGAATTATATTATTCTAGTACTTGGATATGCCTACTTCAGTAGTATAAGTTTTGAGAGATGGGGCAGAGATATAAGCATCCCTGTAACTCGTAGGCATCTGCAAGGTACTGTCAATTGTACTGTATAATTCAACATTTCCTTCAACAATCTGTTCTAATCTTGGACAATCTCTACAGAACTGTCTTGACCTTTTTGCATATTTAGTTGTGATTTACCTTTCAATGAAATACAAGAGTATGAAAAGCAAATGCAATGAATTGTGTTCTGTTATGTGCATGTTAGCTAATTTAATGGTAAGTGTAAGTGTGTGCTGATACTACATAAACTAATGATAGTGTTGACCTGAGCTTCATTAACGCCCCTCCCTGCTCCACAATAGTTAAAGATAGGCTAACACAGAGTCCAGGCTGCTCTGTTCTGTCACAGAATCCCTCTCCGCAGATGTCTCGGTGTTAATTAAAAAAGACGGCCTGAGAGCATGGATGTGCATGGACTCGGAGTCGCTGAGGGCTGATGCTTTGGCTGGGGTAGCGGGCCGGGCCCTGTTCAGCATGGGGCTTTGAAAGAAGAGCCATGACAGCTGAAGGGAAGCATGTGCGAGGCATGTTTGTTTTGCATTACCCCGCACACAGCTGTGTGGATTGTCCTTTCCCAGAACACCGGAACACTATAGTCACTTCACCCTCTCAGTAACCCCTTAAAGGCCAAAAGGGACAATGTCAGGACTCACAATTCTGCTTTGGCAGATCTTCTCATGGCTTTTAATGAGGACTGGAGGTTGAAATGCCGTTTTGGTAGATGGGATCGTTGCAGGACACATCTGCTTTAGTAAAAAGTGCCAGTTTTAGTTCTACTGAAGAGCATATTAACATTATCATTTTTTTTTTTTCAACAGGTCCCTTGCCAGGCTGGGTGATGAGATGCTCAGTCATGAGATCCAATGAAGACTTCTGCCAAAAAATTAATGAAGCATGGCTCGAACTTCATGAAGCTCGAACACTTTGCATATCATACATCCAGGGCAGGCCATGGAGCACAAGACTGAGCAGCAGCTATAAGGAGGTGATCTCTAATTAACTTTATGTTATGAGGTTCTTTTACAAAGTGATTTTAACATGATATTGTGTCCAATGCCTTATGCATTTTGTTTAGAAACGTTAAGTAATCAAGCCTAGTTTCTGTCGGCCTGAAAAAGACCTCAATTTGGAACACGACTCCATGTTGTGACCCCTCCCTCCACCCCCCAAACCAGGTAAGTCACTGCTCTGGTATTATAATAAAAAAGTTGTGTGTGTGTGTGTGTGTATATACATATCTCCAGGGATCCAGATAAGCCGCACAGCAGAATGAAGGAAAGGAAATGTGGTTCTCATTTACAAATTAGAAATGGCTTCTCCAGAGGGCAGCACGTATCAGATTCACCTCCAGATTTCAAACAGTTTTGTTTTATCTGATCTAAATCTGACTTGGGAAAAGTAGAAAGCTCGTAGTACCTTGAAATGGTGCTCGCTTTATGTTTCTGTCACCAAACCCAGTAATGCTTCCACCCAATCAGAGCCATAGTGGATAATGCCTAGATTGGCAAGTTGATCGTTTTATTTGAGATGGTGCAATGAGGACTTCTGCCAAAAAAATAATGATGCATGGCTCAAATGTCAGGCAGCAATTTCATGGAGAATGAGGAAGGAGTAGCCAAGGTTCACTGAAAGATGCAAGAATATTGTGATCTTCAAAACACAAAGCAAAAGTTTCAATTTTGCATCCTTTTTGTAGATTGTAGTTCTTAGTTAAGTTTGACATTCGACTTGTCAACTTGTTGGTATGATGGATTCAAGATTTGTGTCTCAGAGCATGCTGCTGTCAAATCTTGCCAAACAGCTTTATTACAACTCTTTCCTGCAGAGAAATTGAAATGAGACCGCAAATAATAGAAAGATAGATTGCAGTGTGGACAGATAGCGCCACCTGTTTATTTTGCTCTTTAACTGTATTGCTATTGCTTTGGCTTTGCACTTTGCACTCAATTCATTAAGACAAGAGGGAGCCTGCTTCGCCTGCAGGAGAGGTATACCCCCAGGACCTATTAAGTCTATCATGCCCGATTTCCCATTCCCAATAGGCTTTTGCTCAAGTGGTCAACCAATTTTTCAGACTGCTGCAACTGTAGTACATATCAAATAGCCGAATTCTACGACGACAAATTAATTAATATGAACAAATTAATCAATGTAGCAGTAGTGATTGTTGACTGAGGGATTTTGTATTGGGAACTGGTGATTACTACTGTATAATTGTTTAAATAAAGGCTGCAATGGGATTTTTTTTACTGTGAGAAACTCCATTGTTTGTCCTTTGGAACTGTCTAGGCAAGCATATTTAGAAAAAGGAGTCTGTGACAGAACAAGAATTTAACAGGTTTTGAAAACGAAGCCAGGTGCGTTTTGATAAATTTATGTGCGTTTACAAATGGGACACTAGTGGTGGATAAGTGCAGGGTTTTCTTTCCATTTGTTTTTTTTTTTCCTTTTTCTTTTAATTCTTGCATGCATTCAAATGTCAACTTTCTGTCGTCTTTCTTGTATTTCTTGTTTTAAAGCCAGAACGTTCTGAGTTTTATGATCTCTGATTTTCCCTAGTCTCTCTAGGCTTCAAATTTGAAATAAATCTCATGGTTTCGCATATACTTTTTCTTGTCTTTGTCAATCCACACACTCCTTGATCCCAGGTCATGCTTTGGTGGCTAACTGATGTTCACATTTGCTCCTCCTCCTCTTCTTTGTTGAGGGACTTCAGAGATAACGTCCTAAAGTTGGGGGAGTCATGTAGCCCAAGAAATGGCTGCGCTGTGTTCTTTAGCTTTCATTCGCAGTGTTGCGATGCTGGAGGATTTCCTGTCGGGGTCCATGTTTAGATCGTACCCGTTAATGCCAGTGCTCATCCCTGGACTCCCAAACAAGCTGCCCATGTGTGTCTGTCCCATGTGACCTCCAGAACTGGGCACACCCAAGAAGTCAGACACTCCGCTAGCAGCATGTGGATGAGGTGGCATGCAGGAAGTGACCGAGTCGCAGGGTACGACGCAGCCGGGCACAGGAGATGCCGCACTGCTGCTGCCTATCCAAGAAGGGTTCTGAATCTGCAACAAAGTCAAATGCAGAAGGTTAAGGAAGGTATAGTGCACTTACATTCTGCAATCTCAGCATCAGTAACATTAATGTAACTTCTAGTCTTGAGAGCATTCATCAAGTCTGACTCCTTGTTTTGAAATACTGCATTGGCGAAGGTGGAGAATCCTCAGTGGTACTCGATGTGGAGATATATCAAGAGCTGTGGGGCATTCATCTAGTCCCGTACTGAGTGGGAGCTACTTGACTAGTGTGGAGGAGGAATGCCTGTCTCTGTATGCTCCTTCAACACCCAGAGTAACCTCCTCTGCTGAGCAGAGGGAGCACAGAGTGAATTGATAGGGCTGTATTCTGCTCTGGGCCTGGGGAGGTGGGGGTCTGAGGGAGGGCTGTGGAGGGAGATGAAAGCCCTCTCAGGGAGATGCCCCAGATGTGAGCAAAGCTGCATTCCACAGCTGCAGGCGCGCTCCCCAAAGAGCCACCCCTGCCCTCCGACCCGGCCACATATTCATAATAAATCCAGGAGATTCTTTGGCGCTCCTGTGAAGGCGTGTCGTCCTCGGCCACAGCCCTGGTGTGACCTGACCTCGACATTGTGTTTCCTTAGGTCTTGAAATTGTCAGTTGTCTGCCTTCCTACTGTTTTTCATTTCGAAATTCATCATCACTAATATTCACTCTTTGAAGGTTTTAAAAAGTGCACTTAATCATAAAGATAAGTTTTAAAAAAATGACTATGACAGTCCGTTCTAATAACATTCTTAATAAAACACTCTGACAGGGCTCCCCGCACTACTTAAGTGGCGCCGCAACATCGGTAGTGAATCTACAGTACAAAACAAAAAGTGAGACCAGTGTAGTCTCATTCCTTAATGAAAGAATTAATCGTTTTTACTGAATCAAAAACATAAAGCAACATCAATTCCTGAACAAATGATTCAAATTAGTGAATCAAACTCATAAAGTTTACAACTGAATGTCTTAATTCAGCAAAGTTACTGGTTCTTTATATGACAATGAATGTATAGTAAGATAAACGTTTTCAGTTTTTCCTATTCTAAAAAAGTCAATTATTTAAAGTCTGTGTAAACGCATCTTTTGTAAGACTTTCCATAAATAGATTCTTATATCCTTAAAAGTACTACGACTTTTTTTTAAGTACTAAAACAACTGATAAAGCAATGGAACTTTTTTTCTCTTAACATTTTTCACAATTTCCATCCTTAATTAGCATTATTAACACCTATTAATATTAATTTCTAATATTTCCTTGACTTTAATTTATTACTGGAGAGACAGCACTATACCTGAGCATAGTTTTCAGGCCGAGTGAGAAGAGGCAGTTCATAGGCCGTGGAAAAATGTGTCCGGACCTGCTGCATCTGTCCGAAACGCTCTCTTTTCCGCCACTTGGCTCTTCGGTTTTGGAACCACACCTGCAAGACAATCAACCCTTAATCATGATGATATCGCATAATAAGTGATTATATGACCTGCAAACTGGCCACTTGTGGTGTTGCATCATAGAGAGGAAATGATTTATTGACGGAGTAATAAACATCTATTATCAAACTTCATTGTGTTACTCATTTGGTATAGGCTGAGTCTGCCACTTTAGTTGTAAGTCTAGAGCTCATGTAGGAAACCATTTTTGGCTATATTATAGATCAGCATCTTTCCCCTGGAAACAGTTCGGGGAGATCTGGTCATTGTTTGATGTTGTGGGAGCTGACAGATTGTGATGGCCTCCTCTGAGTTTCTTTTCTATCAGAGCTATCAGCAGCAGCAGGGGGTAGGGAGGGGAAAGCAGGATCCCACCGGGTCCAGAGGCTTCGAATAACTGTTTCACTCCTCCTCCTTCACTACCACCACACGCTTGCTTTGATGGATTAGGAGATTGCTGCTCAGCTTTTAGAAAGGAAAAGGTGAATTGAAAATCAAAATCATTTACTCACCCTTGTGTCATTCCAGACCTGCTTGACTTTAATTTATGTGTCGAACACAAATGAATATATTTTGATCATGCAATGAAATTAAAGTAGTTCCCTTTAAAAAAAAAACTTTTGCTGATTATTTACTCACCCCCATGTCATCCAAGATGTCCATGTCTTTGTTTCTTCAGTCGAAAAGAAATTAAGGTTTTTGATAAAAACATTCCAGGATTTTCTCCATATAATGGACTTCAATGGGAACCAAACGGTTCGAGGTCCAAATGAGAGTTTCAGTGCAGCTTCAAGGTGCTTTAAACGACACCAGACGATGAATAAGGGTCTTTTCTAGGACCCTTCGTGTCATGACTCGAAAAAAGATAGTCAGGAGAGTCACGAACGCTCATCACAGAACAGAGGAAGGCGAGCATTTGTGCTTATGAAACTGAAGTTTTTATTCATCGTCTGGAGTCGTTTAAAGCCCTTTGAAGCTCCACTGAAACTCTCATTTGAACCTTGAACCGTTTGGTTCCCAATGAAGTCCATTATATGGAGAAAATCCTGGAAGGTTTTCATCAAAAACCTTAATTTCTTTTCGACTGAATAAAGAAAGACATGGACATCTTGGATGACATGGGGGTGAGTAAATTATCAGCAAAAGTTTTTTTTTTAAGTGAACTACTCCTTTAAGTAGGCTCCAATATTGTTTTGCACCCCAAAAGCATCTGCATTTTTTTTTTTGAAATATCTTCTTTTGTGTTCCACAGATGAATGAAATTCATATGTTTGAATGATGAGAGTGAGTGAATGACATCATTTTTAGGTAAACTATCCTTTTAACAAACAGTACTGGATTTCATCTGGCAAGTTACTTCTGTGCTTTGTTATAGAAATATGCATTGTGTCCCTGAATAGATGGTTATTTCGAGATCTGGGAATTAGAGAACAAATTACACAAAGTGATTTCTCATGGTTCGCAGTCTGAAGAGCTGCCAAAATTCCATTCTTTTAGTCCACGATCTTCTCTGTTTAGAAGTATCTGTTTATTGATTTGTGGAGTGGAAAGTTTTCTTTCTTTTGTCTTGCAATCTCAATTTGTCACGGAGCTTGAACTTGGATCCGGGGATGGCCCTTTGGTCAATCAGTTTGTGGTTATTGCATCCATTGCCAGCAAGATGTCAACCTATCTCTAAACGTAACTTGATAGCACCTTAGCTCTGTTTGCACTTAATTTTGGTGGTGGACATCAATGTCCCTTGGCTCCATATCATATGTTTGTAGAGCTTAACTGCCTGGAGAAAAAAAAGAACATTTCAGACAGAGCATCATCACTCTTGCGGCTCTCGGCTTGCATCCTTGTGTTTTGAAATGATGCTAGGTTTTGATACCATCTAAGAATGCAAAGACGTCCATTTAATGTGATGGTCTGCACAGTATTTTTATTCCCGTTTTTATGTTAATCTTTTTATCAGACTGTCTTTCCTGTCATAAATCTAAGCATGGAAGTTGGGAGATCGAAAAGAAAGATGGAAGAAAGTTCGAAATGGAGTTTGTTTTCATTCTATGTTTAATTTCCTGACTCTTAAGCCCCTGGCTTTCCATATCTGACTCTCCAACCGTAGAGGCGTGTAGACGAGTGGTGGAAAGATTGCCTTGCACCTCTCATACTGATGAACCAATACTGAGGTGTGTTGTATAATGCTTACACCAAAAGTTCACCTTTGAACTACTAGACTGACAAGAGAGACCATACATGGGGAGTGATTTGGATCTGTATTTTGGTCAAAAGTTGGACTTGCTTTTTGGTTTCTGTAAATATTTCCAATAATTCTATCCCTTTAGTGGTTGCTGGTGAATAAGTTCAAATCTGCCAACATTAACAAGTCAACTAATTTTGACCAGCACCTGTTAGAAACGTAGTAGCAAGAGTCTTTTTTTTTTTTTTTTTTGTATGTTGTCCATGCGGGCTAGTAACACAGTAATTGGTAAAGACGTTGACAGCTAAAGCAGCTTAGAGGCTTATTATGGAGCTTTATTTATGTTCCAGCACCAGGGGAGAAAGAACAGAAACACTGAACTAAACCTAGCAGAAAAAACAGCTTTGAAGTCCAGAGTAGCTTTAAGGATTGATGGTCTGACTCTGCTGTCACTCAAGCTCACCTCTTCTACTTCAAAATCATTCATTTTTTTGTTTCTTGACCTCCAGAACTGTAATTATGGTAAAATGCTATTTATAGCATATTAAGCCATTAACCTTTTACCAGATGTGTCCAGACATATTTAGTATATTAATATTTCAGATACTTTGCTTTTCCTTTGCCTTTCAATCTCAGCCAATTTGTGGAGACATTAGTAATTTACACTACTGCAGTTGAGTAAGTCTGATTGTACAAAAGTACTGTTTCTTTATTGACTTCTTCTTATTATGTGGGACTTTTGCCTTCAATAAGTGTAAAGAAGCAACAGGAATTGATGGAGAAAAGAAGGGGTGGGTTCAGCAAATGACCGAGCCAGACTCTAACTCTAGTTGCTTGCACAAAGGCATCACTGTCAGAGCACATGCAACCTAAGCTTGCTTTTCGCCATATGAGTCATTTGTTTTTTCATGTTGCTTTAAAAAATGTTATGGTTGGCGTTAGGGTAATGTGCAGTAAAATAGGTATCTTTTTTTGCTGTGCCAAAGTAGGGAGTAGATGAGAAAGGGCTTCAATTTTAAGTTCCAGAAAGGTTTGACAGTGTTCATAGTCCCTGGAACTGAACCATTGTGGATGTTTCCCATTATTCTTTAGTTATAGCCAGTCGTGTACATGGATATATATCATGAGCATCCCTCACCATGTGAAGGAACTTCAGGCTAGATTCTCTCACCTACCCTTGAGAGCAGGGAGGGACGCATTCTTTCCTGAGTGGGACATTAATGAAAGACAAACAGTGTAAATCCGGGGTTCTAAGTTAAGCGCACATTCGGGGTCGCGGGTAAAGGGATCTCCCGGTCTGTCTGTTGATGCAGGAATGCAGCAGTAGTGTTGGAGGGATTATATGCAAATGTGGGGGTGGGTCACATAAAGGTTCTTGTTTTCCAGACCTAGGCTGAGTTTAATAAAGCTGGGCTCAGAGGTTCAGGTAGAGGCTCGAGATGAAAGCAGACCCTGACGTGTCTAATCTGAAAGCCCCTTTTTTTACTTTATGATCTCTTGTGACGGCCAACTTCAACAGCTTTTTCTCTGTATACTCTATTTTCATTTAATATTCTTTGCACCGAGTGTAATCACTCTTCCTCCGAGTGTCGGTGTTCTTTTACCACCTTATATTAACAGGACTTCCATCCCTCATTTTTCAAAGGTCAAACGGACTAAAATTAGTAGAGAGAGACTTCATTGTTGATCTAGCCTCATTGTACAAGGTTATTCAAAACATGTTATTTAATTTGGTAATGTAAATGCGGCTCACACCTGTACACGAGCTTCTGTCAGGTCAGTCCTCAGTGCGAGTTGTTCCCGAGCGTAGACGTCGGGATAGTGTGTTTTCTGAAAGACTTTCTCCAGCTCCTCTAGCTGATAGCTTGTGAAGGTGGTACGGTTGCGTCTTTTCTTGCCCTTGTTGCTCTCTCCCTCGGCCTTGTCCAACAACGGAGAAGCCAAATCTGAGTTTGGCTGCTGGGGGCTCTTCACTCCTGACTCCTTTATGCTGAGGTAGCTGCCATCCATCCCTGCAGGATCACTGTTTTGGGGCAACTCAGAATCGGTCAGCCCTGTGCTGTCTTTACCTGTAGGCAGAAAAAGAGACGTTTGTGAAGGGTCATTGTGTGCATTACTTGATTACATATCATTTTAAAAACGATGTGAGGGAAGCAATTCTGTAGAACCATTTGATCACCAAATATTGTGAGCAATTATTTAATTGAATTGAATTTGATTTCCAAAGTCACTCCAGTGTTCTTTATCCCAAGTAACCCCAGTGCACCGTTACATTTGATAAAGCCTCTATCATTAAAACCTGGTGTAATTTCATTTTTAATACCATCCCTATTTTTTACAGGGATATTTAGAAATTAAAAAAAAATATAAATAGGTAATACTTGAATACTTTTGGGTGTCAAGATCTGACAATGAACAATTTTTACAAAATTTATTAATATAGGTTAATAATGTTAATTAATATGCTTTAATTCATTATAAATTAACGTTTGTTTGTACTTTAATGTTAATTATTAACGGATGTACTATCAAGCTTTAGAAATGTAGAAATTACCCTACATTAATTGTATTGTATTAACTAATGTTAACAAATTAAACAATACTGTTAACTTATCTAAGTGTAAGCTATAAGATTGGTCAATATAATATAATATTGCATCTAATTTAATATTGGCCAATTTAATATATTGTTCATAGTTCTTCAATCCCAATATCTTGATTATTCTTTATTTGGTCCGTAGTGAGTGTGTGGAATGAGAATCTGTAAGACCCATGGATTTAGTAACGGCTGTCAGTCTCCGCTCATAAATCAGCTGCTCGTGTGTAACAGACAACATGGCTGTGATAGAAAATTACCGGTTTCTCATTTAGGCACAATTCGAAGACTACTTAATGAGTGTAGCCTCAAACATACACGCAGTCTGTGGCAAGGGTGCAAAACGGAGCTTGGCTCGTAACGAGGCCGCACTAGCGGCCCTAGAGTAGTAATTTTCTGCGTCAAGCCGCTGGAAACACACAGCAGCTCAGCTGTGAAACCCCAGTCAGCGTGCCGGTCATAAATTCAGTCAGATCAATGAATGTGAGGATTCCTGTACATTAGGTCATTTCTGCAGCTCACTCTCAGTGCTCATTACCTGTCCGTGCTTCGTGGAAAAGCTGTGCTACAAAGATTGGCATGCTCACTCAAATCGTAACGCTTGCAAACTTGATGGCTCTATTGGCAGACTTTTGGCTGTTTCTCCCTGTTTCGCTCATTTAGCTACAAGGAGAAATAGGGTGTAAAGCTGGATTAGAGTTCCTTTGGGAATGTTCCCTTCTTATGCGATCCAGTGGTGACCCTGAGCTTTATGTCTTACTTTAGCTCAGCGCTCAGTGACAGAAAGTTATTTTAGGTGATGCAGTGTTGAGTTGTGTTCATTTTCTAATGTGAGACTTGATTAAAGCCTTCTCGGGTTTGAGCTGAGGGGCAGATGGGTAAATGCTACTGGTACACATGCTTTTCTCACCTCCTCACATAACCATGTAGGGTAATGTACAGAGCCAGATTAGGGTATTGTGGTGCCCTGTGAGAGAGATCGTCTGTGGCTTGTAACAGGTGTAGTACCCTCAAAAGTACTCCTTATTTTATCCCCAAACAGGGTCCATATTAGCATCTAATGGTAGGCTACTATATAAAGGGATAATTCACCCAAAAATGTAAATTAGCCCATGATTTACTCACCCTCAAAGGATCCTAGGTGTGTATGACATTCTTCTACCAGACAAATACAATCGGAGATATATTAAAAATGTCCTGGCTCTTGCAAGCTTTATAATGGCAGTTAATGGTTGTTCAAGTCCAAAAAAGTGCATCTATCCATCATAAATTGCTCCAAACTGCTTCGGGGGGTTAATAAAGGCCTTCTAATGCGAAGCGATCAGTTTGTATAAGAAAAAAAATCCATATTTAAATATAAAATAACTATATTCCGTCAAAACGGCCATACACAGTCTACTTTGTGTTCCACTACTCCTGTGAAACACAAAAGAAGGTATTTTTTGACATGTAAGTCAACGGGGTCTAAAGTTGTTTTGGAGCCCATTGACTTGCATTGTATGGTTAAAATGCTTCAAATATTTTCTTTTGTGTTCCAAGGAAGAAAGTAAGTCATACAGGTTTGAACAACAATAATAACAGAATTTTAACTTCTGGGTAAACAATTCATTTAGGTGTAGATAAGCCACACATATGTACCTTTTGATAGCACTGCCCCAGTAACAAGCTAAAAGTAAAATGTTTGCGCACATATTTCCCACTATTTGAAACCATTTGTATGGCCCTGATTTGAACACACCCTAAACATGTTTCCCCTTGGCACATGCCCAAATTCCCATATTGGCACAACCAGCCTTTCACCAAGCCATTCAACCAGCACAATCCTCCATCAAGTTCTAATTTTTCAGTTGCCAATAACCATGTGAACTGTGATCAAGACAACAGTGTGTGGCTTTGTGAATCTTGTGTGGTGTCATTTGATTTGAAAATGCATACTGCCTAGGGTAAAAAAAAACCCATTATCTTAATGTATAATACACTCCATAAAATGAAACCAGCTTTTTAATTGGCATTTGACTTTTGGCTGAATCTCTCTCTTAAAGAGCATAGTTCACTACAAAAAAAAAAAAAAAATGAATCACTCTCGTGATTTTTCCAAACCTCTTGTATGAAAGACAAAAGATATTTTGAAGAACGTTTGGTAAGGAACTGTTTTGATGATTGTTGACCTCCATTGTATGGACAAAAAAAAATTAGGTATGTTTACATATGAATAAATGAATAAATCATAAATGAATAAATAATGTAACTCGATTCACATTTTCATTTATGTAATATTTATATTATATCCTCATTCGGAACTAGAGAAAGCCACCGGAGCTACCGTGAGTATAAATGTAATTTTTGCCTTGATGACATACCTTAATATAAAGTTAACAAATATGCCAAAAAAGCTTCTTTTTTTGTTGCAAATATTTTGTAAATATTCACTTTCCTCCACTGACCAGTTCCTAAGACGTAAAAAAAAAAAACACAGTTTGCACGTTCATAATAAGTAAAACATGTATTTATTTTAAAAGGGGTCTGGTAAACATGGGTATCACAACATGCATATTATTTCAGGTCTACACAACCCCTTTCAATGTGATCAAAATTTAACTGGATAAAAAGCTCAATCTGATCGATTGGGATGTTTACTGTATATGAAGGTCTTTCAGTATAATTGAGCCAATAATCCATTTACTAACAAATTTTTTTGGGTGCACATAAACATAGGTACTGAAATATTTCTGTTTATGTTGCACAGAAAAAAAAGTCAAATGGTTTTGGATCAATATTAGGTTGAGTAAATGACAATTTTCATTTTGTGCGAACTATCCCTTAAACTCATATTGTTCGTTTTAGATTTAGAGAGCTTTAGAGACTTTCAGCTAGATAAATATAGCGTTTTCGTCTTTACCTTTTGTAGGTATATGCCTTAGGAATTGCTCCTGTTCTTGACCACATTGCACATTGTATATGCTTCCTTTTGGTTGTCTCCCTATTTGCCTTTTCCAGGCACCATAGGCTCAAGCATGACAGACATGGAGCCAGGCCTGGGGGTATAATGGTTCCCACATTGCCTCTTGCCCACGACTGACACATCTTGTTAAGCAAGTGAGAGCAGCGAATTTACTCAAACATAAATATTTTCAGCTTGTCCCTTCAGATGCCTCACGCCTTTTGCCCCCTCACGGAAAAGCTGACAGCCTGTTTAAAATCGGGGCCTAGCGATCAAAGGTTCTTGTTTATACCTCGTGTCACTGATGGCTTTTGGCAGACCTAGAGTATTGTGACAGTCTCGTAGTCCACTAAGGGTTCAACCCAGGCTCTCTGCTGCGCAAGGTGAACAGAGACTTGGCTGCTCCGTAGCTCCACCATATGGGCGAGTAACATGACCTGCCTTCTGGGCAAGAAATCTCATGGCAAAATGTTTCTGTCAGAATAGAAAAAGTTATGAACTGGAGCTCTGAGGGGGGTATTGGTTAAGGATTGCAACAAAAAAATGCTGAGCAGAAACATGGTCATGCTGTTTTACCCTGTTTGTGGTGCACTGTTAGACACACTGAAGTTTCATGAGGTCATATCTGACTTTGGGAAAAATGTCTATCACAGATAATACCAGAAAAAAAACACAAATTTTTTTCCAGTGAAGTGCAAATGAGAACATTATTTTAGCAGAATTGAAGAAAAAAAAATTGTTTTGAATTTCGGCACTGACTGAACAAGGGATCTTTTCACTTTCTTTTTTTTACACATATCTTTATGCTACTTGTTTTTTCACTGCTATTGATCACTGATTTTTCTGATTTATTAATTACATATTTTAAATGTTTTTGAATGTCTAAAGTACTACCATTCAAATGTGTGGCGTTGGTAAGATTTATAAATGTTTTTGACAAAGTCCTGAAAAAAAATTACAATTTAAAATAACTGTTTTCTATTTTAATACATATTATTAAAAAAAAAAAACTTTAAATTTTAAAGTTATTTTCAATTGTAATATTTTAAAATGTAATTTGTTCATGTGATAGGATCTTTACTCCAGTCTTCAGTTTCTCATGATACTTCAGAAATAATTGTAATATACTGATTTTGTGCACAAGAAACATGCTCAGTTCAGCTGCTTAATATTTTTGTTGAAACTAAAATGCATTTCTTTTCAGAATTTTTGGATGAAAAGAACAGCCATTGAAATGGAAATCCTTTGTAACATCATGTCAGTTTAGTATCTTTGCAATGCAGACTTCTGATCCCAAACATTAGAACGGTATTTGCGTTGAACACATGCATTTTATTATGTATGTTTTTGCAAGCATTGGAAGTGTGTGGGATTTTTATTTCTCATGTGTATTAGTGGACATCCTGCTTACTGGTTTTGGGTGAATGATTATTTATTTAAACATTCACGAGGGCATAATGGTATTTGTGTGTTTTCTATCTAGTTATCCTGTGCGTCAGCTTTTATAACACTGATTCCAAGATAGCACACTT